TCAATTTCACATAGTACTACAAAATATATCATTTAACTAAATTTAAGAGGTTTGAGAAAAAAAATTATATGAATGATTTAGCAACAAAGAACATGTGACCAAATGGGCAATAGCCCAACTGGTACAAACCCATCTCTTCAAAGGAGAAGTCGGGGGGTTCGAGCCTCAGTAGGAGTATGAGTATAGACAACTAGTTCACATATAATTTGGATTCTTTATCAACAGTTTACATTTTTATAACTAAAATTGCTAGGAAAGGAGCACAATGTAGTAACTAAAAATATATGGTAAATAATAGATAATTGATACTTCATTTATTATATTTTAAAATAAAAAATTGACTTCAAGTTTCACTTTCTATCAATTTTATTTTGTTAATTATTCAGTAATTATAGGGTATTTTGTTAATTATTCAGTAAATTTCTAAAGTTTTTATGGGTGCAACATTTTTTTTAAAGACAAATACTAACGTCCACAAGTACTCATTATGAGACTCCAACCCTCGTATCTTATTTAGAAAAGAGTGGTTATACCAAATGGACTAATATTTTACTTCACTTGTATCAATTAATCATTTGTAGATTTATATCTTTATTTAAATTATTAATATTATTGTATTAGTTTGTCAATATTGTCAATGGTACACAATATATATATATATATTTCTAAAATTTTCAAATTCGAGATCAATTATTTTCTAGAAATTTCAAATTCGAGGTTAAAAACACCAACTGAAAATACAATAGTACAATGTATGTTTCCACTTTTTCAGGGATTAATATAACAAAAGCATACCTGCCCAGCATTGGCCAGCAGCCCAAGTGCTTACCAAATAATGGGCGCGAATCCTTTCCATGGCACCTCTCACTGGATGGTGTCCATAGCAGATCCAATGACTCTGATGAAGCCATGTCACCCACAGTTGCCTTGTCATTGTCCAATAAGCGCCAACTCAGCATGTGAATTAAAAAAGTTTCTAAACTCAATTTTGTTTTACCATGTACAAATACCGTATACAAAAATATTTTATTCAGTTATATATGGGACCCAATTCAGTAAAAACTCAATTAACTTTTACTTTTTCTCTTCTGTTCGTCTTCTTCATGCTTCTGTTCTATTCTTCTTCCTTCATCCTCCTCTGATTTTTCACCAACACCAAATACCTTCATCCTCATGTGGGTAATGGAATTGACTAGATAAAATAATGGAATTGATTTCAATTGATTTTATGTTTCCTCCTATTCCCATAAATATATATATATACACGTTTTAAAGTGGAATTGATTTGTCTGATAAATGATGGTGACCACAAAAAACCCATGGTTTCTTCTTTGCATAGTTGGAAAGAGAGAGACAAACGAGAGAACCAGATTTGGGGAAGAAAGATAGGGAAGAGAGAACTGGGTTTAGATCGTTAAGGCAATGTTTGTCTTGGCATTATTTCCCTAATTTTTTTTTTATTTTTCATTTAACTGAAATATGATTTCCTTTTTTTAATTGGTGTGGCCCAATTTTGACCGCTAGATCAATTAGCGGTAATGATGTATACTCATCATGAGAGATGATTCTGGTTTGGTAATTAATGGATAATGATCTTGAATTTAAAGATGGTGATCAAAATTTGGGAGGAAATATGGGATAAAAACTTATTTATTGAAAAATAGATCTAAATACCAAAGGAAATTTTGTGTATATGCATTATATATCTCAATCTTTTGACAAATTAAAATTTTGTTTAATTACATTAAAAAAAAATAAAAATAAATTTTGTGCAATCATTCTATTTACAACACAACATATTTAGAATTACAACAAATTTACCTATCCATTATGCATCTCAAAACATATTTGAGATGCATAATCGATAAGTAAATTTAGAATTTTAGATTACAATAAATAAGAATCACAAATTCTTACAACATGTATCATGTATGAATTGAATATTGTATCATAATATTTTCATAATACATATCAAAAATAAATTTAGAATTTTAGATTACAATAAATAAGAATCACAAGTTGTTACAACATGTATCATGTATGAATTGAATATTATATCAGAATATTTTCATAACACATATAAAAAATATACTTCACAAAGTATCGTCTTCCTTTCAGTTGTTGATTAATAAAATTTGATTTTGAAAAAAAAAAAACTATTTTGCTAACAATGAGGTAAAATAGCAATTTTAAATCAAGATATGTATAGGTAAGTATTCATTATGTTTTAGACATTAATTTATATGATAAGTGAAACGTGTTACAAGTAATTTGTGATGCTAGATATAATTTACGTTTGAAACATGTTAAGCTTAAGTTGTGTAACATGTTTTCACTTTTGACAATGGGACAATCTTCCACTCATAAAAGAAAGTTGATGGATTTATTTTATCCCATTCTTTTTTATATTATTGTTGTATTATAAACTTCATAAATGATATATGTTACAATTAAGTTGAGATGTATCATATAATTAATTTTTGAAACATTATACTTTAAAGTTGTGATGTTTTCAAGATATGTTTGTTTAATATTACGTAGTTTAATGTTTGTTTAGCATGTTATTATTTTTTCACTTTTTTCTACTTATTTAAAAGCTATCATTACCAAAGGAAATTTTGTATATATGCATTATATATCTCAATCTTTGACAAATTAAAATTTTGTGTAATTACATTCTAAAAAAAACAAATTTTTGCTACTTGTTTAAAAGCTGTCATTACCAAAGGAAATTTTTGTGTATATGCATTATATTGTATCTCAATCTTTTGACAAATTAAAATTTTGTGTAATTACATTACCAAAAAAAATAAATTTGTGCAATCATTCTATATACAAAACAACATAGCCTCAAAACATTCACTCCCCCAAATCTTGCCTCAATTAGTTGGAATCAACAATTCAACCAAAAATATATATATATATATATACAAAAAATGAAAATTTCAAATCCACAAGCTACCCTCCCCCATATCTACAATATCAACATCAAACTACCGACCAAAAAAAAAAAAAAAAAAATCAAATCAAATCAAAGAATAGCATTCACAATCAACGCCGATTTCTATTCGGTAACCCAGAAACTTGATTCAAGTTTTTGTGACCAAATCACAAACTCTCTGCTGCAGTTTTAGTCCATTAACGAGCCTTCCAACATCGGTGAGCAGAACCAACCAAACCAATCCCAGCAACCTCCATTGTTTTTGGCCAAGCTTCATTCACATCATTAATGTTCGGCGAAGTTAATGATGGTGGTCCACGGCGAAGTTAATGATGGTGGTCCATTGTTTCCGGCCCAGCTCCATTGACTTCGATTTCAGAGGAAAAAACACCTGAACGAAGCTTAGTTATTTGCCAGATAGATAGACAGAGGGATAGACTATTTCAGAAGCTCCGGATTCTTCATGACTTCAATTTCAGAGGGAGAGAGAGCTAAATTTAAGAGGAAAATAATTATACAAAAGTTGAGGATAAACATTTTAGCTTTGGGGGGGAAATAAGAAATCAGTTTTGGAGAGAAATTTAAGATCGTATGTATACAGAAGTGTATAAAACTCTTGTACAGATACATAATTAGTATTATATACATAAGAAATAAATATTATATTTACCAAGGTGCCACATCACGAAGTTATTAAAGCAGCCACGTCAGCAATGGACACCCTCTAGTGAGAGGATGAATTTTTTCCCCAAATAATGGGCCAAAGTATGGAAACCAAAACAAGATCATTTTGACCTGATGCTTTTAAAGAATAATGTATTACAGTCAATTCAAATTTGGCATCACCTCTAATCTGGTATGATTCCTTCACGTATAAGATGTGAACTCCATCTATAAGAATTAAGTTTCAATGTCTGCCTTTATCTTTTTTGGGATAATATCTTTTAGAGTAATCAATAATTCGCCATGGATCGCATATAATTTTTCAGTTACTAAACCTATGGGAGTGCCAAAAAAATTAAAAAAATAAATGTCTCACTTTTTCATATCTAGCTATCTCACAATAATTGTGCCACCTCAAAAATTTGTGTTTAATATTTTACAGTATTCCAAATTTAGACTACTTATAAAAATAATTAAATATCAAATATTGACGCCTAAATAAATTTGATAATTTATTAACTATCGATATAATAAAAAATATTAAACCTAGCGTTAGTTTGCAAAATAAGACGTTAAATACCAGCCATGCCTTTACCACAACCAATAGTTTGTTTATTTTCCAAAAATGACACGAAGCCTAGAATCTTCTCTATCCTTCCACGTTTCCACCATTCCCCTCGAGCATTTTAACTTGATCCTCTCTATTACCAAACACGTTTTCTACTAATAGTCCTACTACTAGAGTGTACTGTGTACATTGCACACAAAACTACAAAGTTGATGCCCCACACTACACTGCGCCGGGGGTGCTGCTTTTCACCGCCTCTTGATTTCTATTACTGTCATCTGTTCCGTTCCGCGATTCATCTGACAGTTTCTTCCCCTCCAAGGTCATTTCATTGAACTTCCCACTCAGGTTAAAAACAGTAATCTCTCTCCCCCCCCACCCTCTCACTCTCTCTCTCTATATATAAAACATATAATGCATTTGTTCTTTCAAATCGGTAGGTTGTTTAGCAATGGACTCGTTCTTGCTCTGATAGTTGCGGTGATTTTAAATTTTTAGGGTTTTGTGCATTTGTCATTTGGATATCAAAATCAGATTGTGAGATACGCTTTTCCTGGTGTCTTACTTTACCTTTTTTTTTCCTTCGATTTGGCGGGTTGTTCAGCACGGTCTTCTGCTTTGATGTCCTGAAATGAGTTCTAATTTGATCATCGTCTACTTCTAGGGTTTATTCAATGTGTATTGAATTATGATTTTCAGTCTTGAAAGCTACTAAATACGCCTGGGAAACGCATTTGTTCTGTTTATATACATAAAGCATCAAAATATGTGTGTGGTTTTGGGTGAGATGATGCTTGTAGCAATCCCTTGTTCGCTGGCACTTTTTTTTTTCCCCTCCTGTACTTTCCCTTTTCTCCTTTCTGGTTTAATACTTTTTTATTTGCTTGCTAAGACATGTAACAATGAACTCAGATGAGAAAGAAATAATGAGATTGTTTTGTTTCACTTCAAAGAATAGAAGAGTAAATATATAGAGACTTGGAGGAAATAAGGGAAAGGATGTGGCTTACTGCTAACTTAGGCTTTTTTATGATGTCCTTTGACCTTGTTCTGATGCTGTTATTGGTACATGAGACGTTGCGGAAGATTGAATAAGATAACATTGGAAAGGTCTCGGTAGATGATGGGATTTGGCCGCATTAATATTTCCAAAAATTAACAACAATTGCTTCTAAATCTCCATTGATTGAAGTTCTGGTAATTATATGTACATTGGTTTGAGCACTTAAAAATCCTTTTGTTTACGGAAATATAATTTCTAATGTTTAGAGTCCAGAGAAGATCTGGTTTGTAGGACTTTGTAGTAATCAAAGTTAAGTTTAAAACAATGCTTGTGAAAGTGATTTGGAGCTATTGGTTTGCAATGTTGTCTCTGTTGATTTCTGTGACTGTTTGTTTTTATCAAATTATGAAATGTGGACTTTTTGTACATAATGGTTGTATCAATTGAGATGTAATATCTACTCTTCTATACATTATAATTACCAGTAGGCATTGTAGATGAATTCAATAAAAAGGGATGAAAAGGCAGAAGATTTAGGCATTTGTGATTATTATGGTAAAGATGTGCCTCTAGCAAATAGGATTTTCTTGAATTTGTCATGTTGAACTTCAAGTTCTCTTATTGAAATTAGTTATATGGTAAAATTGAATCACAACATTTCATACGCGGAGGCATACAATTTTTTCTTCCCCTGAAATAGTCAACTCAAATTCCACATTGCCTTTACAGCATTCCTAACAAGGAATTCTTTATCAGAACCTCATATTTGTTTGTTTATTTATTTTTGATGTTTGACAACATATAGAATAGGAAGTAATGCTCATGTTTTATATCTTAACATATCCTTGCACACCTTTTGAGACATTAATTGATAATTGTGTTAGTTTATCCATATATATTTTTTCCTTGGCGATAGTTTGTAGTATGCACATTTGCGAGCATCAGAAAATAGAGTGCAGTATGCACATTTGCGACTGTATTGCATCAGAATACTTCTTTTTTCAGTTCAGGATTATAACAGTTTCATCTTTTGCAGGATGGGGGCAGCGAGAAGAACACAGAACGTAATACCAAACAATAATGCACCTTCCTCTCCATCCCATGCAACCAGCCTTGCATCCACTAGAAATTTGAGCAAGATTCACCTTGGCGGTGTCATTTTTGGTTGCACTAACAGTACCAAAAAAGAATGTCTTTTCAAACAACTCTTTGGTCAGTTGACAATATTCAGTTAGCAACTTATACCTTCCATTTGCATACTAATCTTTTATTTTTAATGCTGTCAAAGCGTTTCTATGTAGGAATAATATGAGTTGTGCACATCATTCTATATTTTATGAGCTTAGGTTTCTTTTCAGCAGCATGATAAATGCTACTTTTGCTTTAGTTCCTATTTCTAGCTCCAGGACTCATGAATATGTTCCAAAAATATCACAGGCTTACCAGTTCATCACTTTTCATATGTAAAGAATATTGATCCAGGACTGCCGCTGTTTTTATTCAACTACAGTGATAGGAAACTTCATGGCATCTTTGAGGCTGCTAGCTCTGGTCAAATGAATATTAATTCATATGCCTGGGCTGCAGATGGTTCAGAAAGAACTCAATACCCTGCTCAGGTATAATATGAGTTTTTTCCCTTACATGGTTGAGTTGTTTATTGCTTTCTAATGTTATGTCTGATACATGCTGGGTTGTGATCAAGTGAATGCTTGGGCACTGATAATTTTCTGTTTATTCACTAAGGTTCAAATCCGCATGCGGCTACAGTGCCACCCACTTTCTGAAGACCAGTTTAAACCAGTAATTGTAGACAACTACTTCAAGCATAGCCATTTCTGGTTTGAGTTAGACCATGCTCAAACAAATAGGTTGTTGTGCTTACTATCAGCCTCAGCAGTTGCTCCGAGTACCTCTGCACCACAGAATACAACGAAGTGGAGGACTCTATTTCAAGCCCCACAATCACCTGATCGGAGAAATGAAAGTGAAAGCTTTAGGCTTCCATCTGAAGAGGTTTCTGGTTATTCCTATAATTCAAATGGGAGTTTGGGTTCTTCAGATGGCAACAACCAGCCATTGGAAGTTTGCTTAGAGAAGCAGGTGGTTGAGAAAGATGAGAAGGACCTTATATACATGAAACTAAAAGAACTGGCTCTTAATCGTGAAAGCTCTAATTCATCTTTAAGTATGACTGGTAGTTTGGAAGATACTGTTGCTGTAAATGACATGCACTTGGATCTTGAGGCACAGAAAATTTCACAAGAGAAGAATGAAGAAAGTCTTGTCAACTCATTTGATTATCCTTCCATCATATCTCAGGTACTTCATGATGGCAGTTCTGCACCTGCGCATAATTCGTATCACGGCCATTTCTGTTATATTTTGTTTTATTTACATATGTTATTTATTTTTATTTTTATATGTATATATGCAGTTGATTCAAGAAATGAAAGAATTGAAGGCTTTTAAAACAGAACAAGTTCAAAAGATGGCTTATTTAGAGCAGAAGCTGGTATATCTCGTCATGTCATTGATTTTAAATTTTGCAAGTCTCTGTAAAGTTTTTCTGCCATTACTCTAGTTGACAAATATTAAATCACAATTGCACAAAAATTTCTGTCACTTTTCCGGGCCTCTTTCCATGATTGGCGACATAAAAAAAAAGTGTACAAGAAGAAAATTTTGTGACTATTCAGAATTAGGTTGAGAAAGCTAGAGATGAAGGTTGTGGTGGCCATGGACAAACATTAATGTGGAACTGAAATAAAGATAAGTAGAGCAAGAGAAGATATACAAAGATGATTGGAAGAAAAGCAGTTAGTCAAAAGGTTGATCTTTTTTAAAGTGGATACAAATGGCTGAAAATGGCTTTAATTGGTTATCATAGTGGATGTAAATTTTTTAATCTCAAGTAAATGATAGAATCTTAAAGAAGAAATATTGTGGTACCTAGAAGTTTGGATGAGCAATAATAGTTACTATGGGATCAAAATATACATTTGTAGAAAAGGGTTATAAAGCTAACACCAAGACAGAAAACTTGAATTTTTGAAGATTTTTTGGCTTTATCTCATGTATGGTGCTATTGTTCTCTTCAATTTATGTGGATCTTTCATATTTATTTTCAGTTATTGCTACTGGCATAACTTGTTTGGAGCCTGTGGATGATATCAGTTGATTATTATGTTGTTGGAGATTGGGAAAACTCCTTGATATCTTTGCCTTGCAAATTGTTTTAGGATGAAAAATGCTAATATCAGTTTTGTTCTCGCTTTTAAGGCTTATGACTTGAGGTTCAGCTCAACACAAGTTGCAAGGCTCAAAACTAGGTTTAAAAAAAAATATAATGAGGCTTAAGCAACAGAAGTATCTTTAACATGCTTTGGTCCTTGAAACTTGTCTTATATCCGAGCCTTTGAGATTTACATGACAAACAAAGGGCACTTTTATCACAAACTTGAGACTTGGATACATACTCCCTCTCTTCTATTCTTAATTTTTCTACTGTATGCCAATCAATGATTCTAAGACCAAAAAAAATAAAAAAATAAAAAAAAAATCACTGGAATCATAAGTTTTTGGAATTTTATGCAACTGGGTTTAAAACTAAGGTTATTATATATTTTCTTGTAATGGCTTGTTTGAATCCACATTCACGATGATTATCTGATAGTAGGTTTGTACCGCTGTAAGTTTATCACCCCAAAATTTTTTTAGCTTCACGCTGATAACTTATTTGTCAAACTTGCATTGGTTGTTGAAATAGCCAATGAAACCAACCATACAAAAATAAGTGTGATCCTTAAAGTTTTGGACTTCAATTTAGTGCCATAACTTGGGTTTATTTTTTTGTAACTTATTGTCGTTCTTCATTTGATACAATTTATTGTCCTTTAATTTCTAATTTCTAACTGCCTCACAATAATTCAAAATTATGGTACTTTTGCCCTAGGCTATGTGCTATTATTTGCTTCATACAAGGACAAAGGTTTTGACCCTGTTTTTGCCTTGTAAAACTATGTATGCTATGTTCCTATGTTGTGGTTAAGTGCTGCAAATCTATTGCATGCCTCCAGTTATGTTTTAGATGAAACCTCTTGCGCTGGCATTGCAGGATTACTCAGAAATACAAATTCGACAGCTAAAAGATCGATGTATGATGTTGGAATCTACATCAAATCCTTCCATAGAATTTGTTAATGAGACGGTGATGGAGTCTTTTAATGAGCTTAATCTGGATCTTGATGAATGGATATTTCTTGTGGGGGGATATGATGGTGTATCATGGTTATCAGCACTGAATTCCTTCTCACCATCACATGATGTGATAAAATCTTTTAAGTCAATGAATTCGCTTCGTTGTTATGCCTCAGTTGCAAAGCTGAATGGTGAGCTTTATGTATTTGGTGGTGGAAATGGATCTTCGTGGTATGACACAGGTATTAGAATGTACCTCTCTTCTCTCTCCTTCCCCCCCCCCCCCCCCCCCCCCAACACACACACACACTTAAATATTTTTTCACTGACCTTGCTATTGTCTTTCTATGAAGTCGAATCATATAACCCAGCTAATAATCAGTGGTCTTGCCGACCTTCGTTAAAAGACAAAAAGGGAAGCTTAGCTGGTGCTACTCTAAATAACAAAATTTTTGCACTTGGTGGTGGAAATGGGATTGAATGCTTTTCAGATGTTGAAATGTTTGATATAGATGTTGGGCGTTGGATCTCTACACAGTCAATGCTACAAAAGGTAATGCCTATAATTTCTTATGGTGCATCATTTAGGTGAGTTAATGTATCCACTTCTCAAAATTTAGTCTAATCGTAAAGGACAAAATTTCAAATTAACTATATGGAAATAGTCGGCCATGGATTTGAAGAATTTTCTGCCTGAGTTCCTGTAGAAAATAAAGGCTTCACATGGCCACTGTGACTTCTTGCTTGCTTTACTTACTAGAAGTCAATCCATGCTTGAGAATGCTTGCTTTTAAATCAATTTTATTTAGCGAATGTCATAACCCTTATGTCATATTGAGTGGTATCATTTTAATTCAAATTTGGTTTATGGACATTCTCATTAACCAAATTTTGGGCAATATTGTAACAGATGATGGTAGGAAACAGAAAAACTGTAATACTGTTGGTTCATGGCCCCTTCGATGTTGTGGCCTGAATTTGGTTTTGGGTCGTGTTGTGACCATTTTCGACTGGATGACCCATTGTATTTTTTTGGACCCCTTTTTTTGCCTGCGATCGTGGACCCTGTCTTAGTACTCTCTTGTAACCCGATACATAAGGGCCTTTAGGGTTTGGAGTGGGATATTGAGAGACTGAAAATCGCAAAAAGGAGAGTGAGAGTCAAAGCTAGGGTTTGGGAGTTGAAACTTGTAATCTTCTGATTTTCACATAGTGAAACCTTTCGCCGGATCTTCACCGTGGATGTAGACACGACTTGTGTCGAACCACACTTTATTTTTGTCGTGTTTTGCGATTGTTTCTTGGGTTCGTTGCGTTTGTAGTAACAGCCCCAAATATTGGAATAAGTAATTACTCAAGGTATATAACTTCTAAGAAAATATGAAATTCATATAACTTTTAGTGCCACCACAAGCCCATGTTTTCAGGACTACCTTGACATGGCAATTAAAAAGCAATAATTGGAGGATTTAAAAACAGTAATCCCCAATAGTTTCCAGCCTTGCAACTTCTGTGCTCTTTTTCCCCTTGATTTGTATTTTATGAGTACTTCATTATTCTTTTTTAGTTCACGTTTATTAACCTGTATATACTTTCGGATGCCTTATTTTTGTATTCAGATTTCATGTTTGTACAATCTATAATATGTAGTCCTTTGGTATGCTTTACAGCGATTCGCTCTTGCTGCAGCGGAGCTCAATGGCGCACTGTATGCTGTTGGTGGATATGATGGAAAGGATTACTTGACGTAAGATATCAAGCCACTTTCTTTATTGTTCCTCTTGCTGAACTGTGCACATGCAGGGATGCAAACACATTCATGTATATTCATTAATATATCTTCAGATGGCTTGAGTTTTGAATATATAGGGGCTTGGTACCTGTTTTTCCTTGCCATAGTTATTAATAACAATGCATCATGACCGTGGGGTGATCTAATTATTTGTTGCTGGCTGCTCTACTCTTCTTTAAAGACTTACAGCCAAGAGTAATAATTATGCAGCATACTCGATGAATCATATTCTTTAACCCTATTGAATATTCAGTGTAATTCATAAGTTGACTGTTGATTACTTTCATTAAATACGTGTTATGCTTGATTCTAAATGTTTGCAATAATATAGTATATATTTAAAATGCACATGATTATAGCTTTTCATCATTGTTCTATGTAATGAAAGAACATATGTGCATTGATTTACCTGACCCTCTTGGTTGATCTGCCAAAATATCCATTTTTTAATTTTTTTATTAGCTTTCCATTGCATATCTTAAATCGTTTCAATTGTACATTGATTTAATGAATTCATATGCAAATTGGAAGGAGATTTGTACATTGATTTAGCTAATCCACTGAATTTAGATGCTAAGAAATTCTTTTATTTTGATCTTCACTATTGTGGGCTTCTCTATTACTATTTTTTTTGCATATCTTAAATCGTTTCAATTGTACATTGATTTAATGAATTCATATGCAAATTGGAAGGAGATTTGTACATTGATTTAGCTAATCCACTGAATTTAGATGCTAAGAAATTCTTTTATTTTGATCTTCACTATTGTGGGCTTCTCTATTACTATTTTTTTTCTTTCTATTTTTTTATTTAATATGTATTATTAATGCAAACATGACTTAGTTCAATGAGGGTCAAGCATTGCGCTTAGGCTGTAGGAGACCTTGTGATGGAGACCAGTGGCAGCAACGGATAAATGGTGTATAAAGGCGTGGAAAAGAGAATTCTAAGGCCCAGCCCAGACTTGGCATATGCTAGATGATGTGGGATCCACTTGGATCACACCTCTCATATTTGTGAATTACTTGCAATGAAAATTCATAAGGCATTTGTTCGTTCATTCACTGATTAAACAAAGATTAAACCCCGTTTTTTTATAGAAATTCTACTCATGACTCAGAACTTTCACACAGGTAGTCCATAAGACCAGAACACTTAACGTGACTTTTGGACTTGCATCGTAATGGAGGTAATCAATAAGGCTATTCCTTTCTCTTTGAGTTTATATCTATATTTCTACCATTAAACCTCATACTCAACCCTGATTGCCTGAATTATTAGTTAAGTTAAGCTGTTTGTGGCTCCTTAAAAGTCAGACATCACCTTGATGCTGGAGTGTGCCTTGAACCTTTAATAGCTATGGTGGGATAACTTTTGGCATTATATGCACAAAGTGGATACTCGCAGTGTTTGAACCCATTTTATCACACTTGAAACCCATGCTTTTACCACCGTACCTAAGTCAACAATTTTTCAAACTTTCTTGGCATGCCAATTGTATGACTTGAATCCAGAAGCTTTTATTGTTTGTATTCAGCTACGTTTATCGTTGAAAAGTGAAAAGCTTTATGTCATGCCTCACAGCATTTTGGAAGGTTATGCCATGCAGAAATCACATGGGTGCATGGCAAGTCCACTCTAGAGTCTTTTGGATTAGTATAGGGGACACTTCATAAATGTGGAAATATCTAAGGTATTTTGTAAGATTATGAGGAGTTGGGAATGTTATTCTTATTAGCATTGTCTGTCTGGTCCAAATCTGATTAGTTTTATAAAGTTTATCTTAGTGCGTAAGTCGCTAACTGAGTAGGTAGATACAATCCTACTAGGTTAGGTTATCTTGAGGAGGTGGAAATGTTCTTAGCACTCTCTGGTCCAAATCTGATTATTTTTGTAAAGTTTATTATAGTCATCCGCTGAGGAGGTAGATACATTCTAGTAGGTTAAGAAATCATTTGCATCCATGCAGGGTCCCTAGTACCAAGACCTGCAAATTGTAAAGATATGTTGGGTAATACATTTCACAGAATATATAATTGTGTCGTGTTTAGACAGATGGGGTTTGGGTTGTACATCCATATTTGTCACATGAATGGTTGTTTTGGATATTTTTTTGGAAACATATTATGATGACAAATCCATCAACTTGAACCAAGTTGAACGGAGTCATTAATGAAGTGGTTGATAACTCACAAATGGTGTAATCTTAGAAAGATCAAGAACAAAAAGTCAACCTATGTCTTCTATTGCTGTGAATATCTATTTTTTCTATGTTTTTCACCTTTCGAGGCTATGGAATATCACGTGAGTCCATTCCTCTAAGCTCTACTCTACATTCAAGAGAGCTCCAGAAAAAAAGGGGAAAGGAAAGATCATAGTTCCTACTCAGTGTTTAAAGGACACAAGCAATGAGTGGGAGACTTGGCAGAGATATCCAAGCCCAAAATCGGACCTGATTTAGGGATACCATTGCCCTATAATCTTTTATATTGATCTCAACCATTCCGCTCATCGGCCATTGCGTAGTGGAATAAAGGAATCAATATCTAGTCAACCGGTTTTCAATTTTATTATTACTGGTTCTACTTGTTTTAAACATGATGAAAGTTCTATTTGTTCTGAACTAATATAATATAATCTATATACACACACATATATATGCAGAGGGAGAGCCTTCTATAGAAACAAACAAGCCCTGCAATGGAGGCCTCTAGGATAAAAAATGATCGTCCCATTAGGCAGTCATTCTATTTTTTATAACACGAACAGTTCTCTCCATTAGCATCTTTCAAAATGGTTTCTGAAAATTTTCTACTTTCTTTAGGTCTGCTGAAAGATTTGACCCCAGAGAACATTCCTGGACCAGAATTGAGAGTATGAACACCAAGAGGGGCTGTCACTCATTGGCTGTTTTGAATGAAAAACTGTAAGTTCATTTATTTATTTGTTATTTGTTTCACTCTACTATCACTTTTTTTTTTTTTCCTTTTTCCCTGCTGGATGCAACAGCAAGGGCTACACAGCAGAAGTTTACACTTTACACTTGCCCAGAAATTTACCATGCCCATCGTGTTCTTCTATCACGACCTGAACTTTGTAAATTTCCCCAAGGAGCACGCGATACCACCTGAGCTTTAGACGAATGGTGGTTCACTCAGCTGTTTGGTTGTGCTCAATTAATCACCTTGCACATGGGTGTCCTTGAATTTTCTTAGATCGTCCACTATATTAGATTCAGAACTTTTTTTCATTTCATTTATATGTTTTTCAGAGTTTGAATTTATTACACGTTGAAACATCTAGCACACATCCTGCAAGGTTCCATCCATATTTCTGTTCTCTTTGGGTCTGTTTGGCATCCGTTTTGTGTTTCTGTTTTCATCCGGAACAGAAATAATGTTTTTGTTGTCAAGTGTGTTCAATAGTGATTGGAAGCTGTTTGAGAGTTTCTTTCTTTGTTTTTTTTTTTTTGAGCGGGAGGGGGGGCATTGTTCACCGCAACAGTGCGAAAAATTAGGAAACACCTATTTCTTGTTTCCGATTTGGGCCTCTTTTTGGTAACAAACATGGTACTATTCAAATTGCAACAAAAGTTACCAAACGCACCGCGCGCCGCGGTGTTTTGCTTCGCTACAATACACCACCCGCAGCACTAAACACGAAACAAAAGCGGTTGCCAAACAAGCCCTTGGTCTAAAATCTCAGAACTGTACTGTTTCCAGTTCTATTACTTCTTGTAGTAAAAATAAAAAAATATGGACTGTCATCTTTATTGCTGCCAAGTGGCCCAAAGAACACCCAAAATTAGAGAGGTAAATACTTATTCTTCAAATTAGAGAGGTGTTTTGCTTTGCTACAATACACCACCCGCAACACAAAACATGAAACAAAAGCGGTTGCCAAACAAGCCCTTGGTCTAAAATCTCAGAACTGTACTGTTTCCAGTTCTATTACTAAAAAAATCTGGACTGTCATCTTTATCGCTGCCAAGTGGCCCAAAGAACACCCAAAATTAGAGAGGTAAGTACTTATTCTTCAGATTGAGATCACAATAATGAGGAAAGGGGATATAGCCTATTGGGAATTCTATATTATCATGGATTAGAAATTTATAGATAAATTGTAAAAAGCATGTTTGTGATGAATATAAGATGGACAAATCCTTCTGCAGATACGTTATTGGTGGTTATGATGGAATGGAAATGATTCCAAGCATTGAAATATACGATCCTCGTCTAGGGTCATGGATGAATGGGGAGCCAATGAACCTATCCAGGGGGTATTCTGCTGCCACTGCTTTTAAGGAATCTATTTATGTAATTGGAGGGGTTAAAGCTGGCGAGAACATTGTAGACATAGTACGTCAAATTTTTCCATGGCTTTTTCTTTGAGATTTTGTGTGGCATCAGTCTTGTCAGCTAATTTGTACCTTGCTATTATGACAGGTTGAACGTTACGAGGAGGGCAAGGGTTGGCAAGTAACCAACCTAAAGGCCATTGGGAGAAGGAGCTTCTCCTCGGCTATTGTTTTATGATGGAAAGGGAAGCGCCATAATGAGAAGTTGCCTCATCTTCATAGATGCAGTGACACTAATCCCTACCTGGATCTAAAAATCTCCATTGGAGGACTCAACTCTAATCTTTCAGGAGGTTGTAATTTGGGATGCTTCCATGGATCTTTTTCACAACTCTTGAACAAACAACTTTCTTGGCATTACTCATCTGCAAAACATACTATAGATTTCTACACAATTACACTCGAGATCATCTGAATCTGAATCTTTGCACATGAATAAACCATTTTGTGAAGTAAAAACACACCTGATTTGATAGTGTAATTTGTTTTTCTCTTCCCTTTTATTCTTTTCTTGCTTTTTTGATGAAATTAATGCTCATTTCCTTCATTGGCCCCCCTCTTTCAATTAAAAAAATGCCTACTTTATGGCGTTCTATTAAATGATTCATTTATTGACAGAAAACTCCCAGGTGAAAACAATGTTACCAAGGTTTTAGCAAACAGTTTTACAAGTAATAATAGCAGTATATGAATCTGAGAGACTGCAAATGCAAGCTTTCTGCCCTGAAGATGGGCTTCTCCAAGATTTATTGAATTTTATACAACTATAAAAATAAATTAATAAAAAATATTGTTTATGCAAGAATTATATCATACATTTTTTGTTCCTTTAGCTTGCCCAAAATGAGGCTGTACAAGTAGAACAAAAAGAAAAACAGAACTCATCTGATCTTAAAATGCAAGATGAACTGGTCCTCTTCTGGGCTCTTCGGCTTTTTGGTAGGGAGTTCGACTTTTGGTAGGCAAGAAAGGAAAAAAAGAAAAGACAAAAAGAATGCAAGATGCTCAGGAGCTGTTACCAAAAAGGGTTTTGGCAATGAATCTACCATAACATGATAACCACCAGTTTATCGGCTCTATCAGCTGATCTCCATAGCACAGAGATCAAGCTTGGGAGGTAAAAACAATATAAACCAAGTCTGAACCCAGAATGCAGCCAATCTGGAGGCCCAAGCAACATTCTTGATCACAAAAATCATAACAGATGCTTCTGCTATATGATGACGTGAATACAAATAAGTTGTGTAGCACAAGACTTCTGCTTATGTGGCAAGACTTTTTCAGCGTCCTTTAAAACACAGCACCATCATAAAAAGAAATTAGTAGATGACATCAAATCAAATAAATTTCAACACTACAATTTTAAGAAATAAACTGAGCACTTCTGAATGGATTGTGGAGAATGAAGAATAAATAAATAAATAAATTTTATGTCAGTTCCTCACAAGAAGCTGCTGCAATGCTGTTCTAACCTTTGGGGTGAGCCAACCTACCAATATGAAAATGCAGGGACCACATAATATCAAATTAATTAAAACACTCCGAAAAAGTAATAATTGTCCCCTACACTTACCCATTGAAGAATTAAACAGCAGATATGCAATTGATGCAAAAGTCTCCAAGCCCTTCAAGGTCTCACTAAAACTTTGCGAACGACAATTTTCAGACAATGAGAAGTTACTGCTGCGCTTATTTTTTAAACATCATCATTCTGGAAAGAAAGAACCGGCAACTTGAACTCCAACTGGCAACTTGAACTCCAACTGACGAAATAATATCAGTCATCACTAAAAATTCCTCTCTGTTGCCCATACACAAAGCAAGAATATTTTTAGTCCAAGAAGCCATTATTGGCTGATATAGACCCCCTCTCAGGATAAAACATGGTTTTATCACCCTTCATTTAAGTGGTAAAAGCACGTGTTTCTTTTCATTGCACTCTGTCTATCCAAGCAACATAAAAGTGACACTTACTATTTAACAGCCACAGAAAGATAGACTTCTTTTTCCTTGCAAAGATACGTCAGCTCACATTTTGGCCCCCAACAGCCATTAAACAAACCCACATCATCCTCGGATGAGCATTCCAAACCTACACAAACTCTCAAAGCAAAAGAACTTACTTTCGGGGTTTTGTAGAAGGGCGCAACATATGTAAATTTCCTGATTTTATCACAACCTCCAAATTGGTCCAAATCCAGAAAAGTAAATTCAGTTAACTCCTCACACACAGTCATTCTCAACCACAACCGATTCTCACTCAATATATTATACAAAGTGATCTCTAAAGGTATGCCAACGGGTAGTCCTGAAATGAAAGGAAATGGATTTTCAATGTCATTATCATGAATATTCAATTCTGCCTTTATATGCTTGAATTTTCCACATAACACAAACTGATTCAGAGAAAAAACCCCAGCTAACTTCTGAAACAGAAGTGGACTGTGGGAAGACCCATCGGTAAGGGTACCAAAATCACACAACAATTTCTTGAGCTCAATCACAAAATTGGAAGGTTCGACAGATCCTTCTCCATGGAGAAATTCTACCTGCGAAATTGTAGAATACAGTTTCTTCAAAGCAGTACCATTGAAGCAGGCTTCAACACTAGATAGTCTCAGTGTACAATATAGAAGTATCAGTTCCAACACATGCAACTCCTCTTCTTTACTCAACCCAATGAACCTATACTTCATTTCTTTAAGGCTCCTGTCTAGTTTTGCCAAAACAAGGGCCAAATCTCCTATTCCATGGGAGCAGTGCTTTCTTGGAAACACAAAGTGCACCCATGTCCTCGCAAGCTGTTTCATGAACCGTAGATATTGTAATGTAAAAAATACTGCGCTGGCAAATGGGCCAACGGTAAATGTGGCCAACTCCTCCTTCCAACTCCTGCATCGCATGTGCCATAGAATCAGAACAATTAGCAAAACAGAAACATGTAGCAAATCTGTCCATATAATAGATGCACATTATAGAAAGCGGCATGAAATATAAGGCCCACCAAAGGCACCTCAAAAGTGAAAAGAAGGGTGGAACAATGATTACATATCATAACATATAGAATAAATAGAGAAATTTAAATATTTGATGCTTAGGTTATAGAATGAGGTTTATATGTTTGGCCATCATGGTCTCTGCTGTGGTAGATGTCACTCATACCACAAATGGCCGAACTTTTGACCATGGGCCTGAAGCAAAAACATAGATGCATATATTTTCATCTAGAGAGAAGTTCGGTACTTGTATTTTTCTTCATTGAAACCAATTGACTGCAAATTTAGTGGGGAAATAAGCAGGATAAAATGATTTTTTTTCAGATCAAGGACACTACAAGGACTATGCAAAATGTAAGCCCTAACCTAAAGTAAAGCCAAAAGAAGTTATGTAGAGGATACAGAAATAATTTATTGCAACCTCAACATCTTTAGTACTTCATCAGTGTATCCAAATTGTATCAACTGCCACAGATCTTCGACCTTTGAAAAGATAAACTTCACAGACTTTGTTACTTCATGATTTTCCAACTGGTAATCTACAGGTGAAGTTGCTATATTTCTTGGTTTCCATGTTTTCCAATAATGAATTTCTGAGGCCCCTTCCCCTAATTGCTGCAAATGAATCCCAGCAGGACTAACTATTGCAGCATCGGTATTATTACCAACACCACTTTCAACCACATGCAAGAATGGCTCTTCCTCTTTGAAGTAAAATTCTGCAGCAGAAAAATCTTTGCTTCTACTGCAATGAGACAAATAAGCCAAAAGGGTATTCTGGTCCACAACATCACATAAAGCACGAGAGATCCTCCCTAACAGTGTAACTGCATAAGAAAATAGTATAGGTGGAATACTGCAAATATGCTGATCACTCGAGAGTGGAACGGAGATGCCCAGAACTAGCAATGCAGCTACTCTTGCACTATCAAATCCTAACTTGCCTTCACAAGAAGGCCCTATCTGAAACATATACACAAAGGAAAAAAGAGAACAGAAATCATGTCAGTTAATCTGATATGCATCAGTGTAATAACCTGATATGAAAGGGGACAAAAGGAAACATGAAAAGGTCTTAAACTTGTTGCACACATTCTAGCATTCTTACACAGACAAGAACTTAAAGAGATCAGTAGGGAAGACTAAAACTAAATAGTTCATGGTTTCCTCCACAAGTAGCTAAACAGAATGTTCTCACAATTGATTTTATTATTAATCAAATATATATTTTATTCAGCGAAGAGATATACTATACATAATATACTACATATGCTTGATTGCTGTCACATGAATTTGACCATACTCTTTTGCAATACTACTTCATATATTGTCGTGCACAGATTTGATTTCCCTTACTAAACCAAACTTGTATAACCAACCCCACCTTCTTTCCTTAATCCACAAAAGACAAAAAGGAGGAAAGATGTAGGCTAGTGCAAGGAAGGCTACATTAACATCCACTAAAGTAATTCTAACGGCTCAAGCAGCAGGTCATGTAGCTGAAGGAAACCTGTTTACCTCATGTCCAAGACAAACATTAACCTTATTAATATATTTAGTCTTATTAAGCATGCAACTAGTTGTTAACTCAAATCTAATATTAACAGGAAATTAGACCTACAGATTAAATACTTTCATAAAGGTGACAACACTTGAACAAAATCTTTTTTTCAAATTTTATTGGGGCATTAAAAAGGCCATAGGAGAAGCTAATCGAGGATTTGATATTCACATCCAGCCAAAAAAAAGAGTAAAATATGAAGTGTCAATCTAAGCATCACACAAATAGATCCAGAGATAGCATTAGCGGAAGCATACTAACCTCATCATAAACCTCCTCTATAATGCTGACAGCAAAGCTACCATGATGTCTACCAGTACTAAACAAAACAGAAAATACATCGGCTTCATCCTGACAAGAGAACCAAAATTAACACTTAGCTAACTTATTACAAGACCTATAAATAATAGTAAGGCTGAAAACGACCAGTTCATAGTTACTAGAAAACACAAATATCCTGGCAATCCCTTTTATGGTATATGTTTTCTATAACATGAAATGCTTCCATTCCTAAACACAATTTAGTGATCCACGGTATCTTCCTTATTCTCTCCTTAGCTTTCCTTTTAAGAGAGAATATCAGAAAAGTGCCATAAGAAATCAAGAGATCCAAGTAACAAGGTTGTAAAATGTTTTCATTGTCATTTAGTAAAATGTTTCTATCCGATTCATTTCATCATAGTTGAACTTCCGCGCCATATGGTTAACTTGTACACTTCATTAATACTGATTTCATTGTCATTTATAAGTACATGAAAACCACTCCTATGAGTAGAATATCCCCACCATTTAGGGCTGTTTTCATTGTCATTTACAAAAATGTTTCTATCTGATTCATTTCATCATAGTTGAACTTCCGCGCCATACGGATAACTTGTACACTTCATTAATACTGATTTCATTGTCATTTATAAGTATGTACCACTCTTATGAGTAGAATATCCCCACCATTTAGGGCTGCAAATGAACCGAGCTGTTCCTTGGGCTCGGCTTGTTAAGATCTTTGCTCGGGCTTATTCGTTTAGTAAACAAGCCGAGCTCGAGCTCGTATTTCAGGCTCGTTTATTAAACGAGCCAAGCTTGAACAATTGTGAGCTCGGCTCGCCAAGCTCGCGAACATGCTCGTTTAGTTAAAGGGCCTATATTTCAAATTTTGCTATTAAATTTTAGCCCCAAAACTTGTGAGTTTTTAAAGGTCCATGTAGTTGTTTGGTGTTTATAAACCAGTCCTATATCCATTCCACAAGCCCACTAACCCATCCATTTATCACAACCGTTGGATTACACTTTACTATATATGTTATAACTAAAACTATTAGAAAAAAATAGAAACCATAGAAACCCAAACTCTTATTGTAGACGGCAGCCACAGGAAACCTCTCAAAATCCATCGCAGATCCAACAACGGCAGCTACTCAATGGCGACTGATGCGACAATCTTACTCCAACAACAACTGCAAGGTTATTACTCCCTCCCTCTCTCAGCCATTTTCTCACCCTCTTAACTATGTTCTCTCTCTTTCACAATCATGTTGTCTCTTGGTAGTCATTTTTATTTTTTCTTCTTTTGACGGAGTTATGAGAGGATGAAGATGGACTGATTTGATGACGAATATGGACTGATGGTGGAGATGGAGGATGATTTCCTACAATACAAAGCTTGAGCCGAGCAGAGCCTGAGCTCGTTCAAATATTGGCGAGCTGAGCTCAAGCTTGGCTTAGCCAAGCCTGCCTGAGCCCGAGCACCCTTTTGACCTTGGCGAGCCGAGCCCGAACAAGCCGGCTCGGCTTGGCTCATTTGCAGCCCTACCCACCATATTCCATCTGTCATTTATACAAAGCTACAACTATCCTACTGCATCTAAAACGTACAGCATGGCATAAAACTGTTCCTCTTCCACACACCATAATGAGGAGTTCCAAGTGGGGCCAACCTATTGAGTAGCCATTGCAGTTTCAATTGAAGACAAGTATAAATTAAAAAACAAAATTCTAATACTAATAATAGTTCCAAATATGACTCCAATTAATTTAATAAAAAAAGCATCCAATGAGTTTGCAAAACAAGAAAAAATTAAGGTAAAAGACACGGACCTGTGGATACATTTCCAAATTCTCTAGAAGGCCATAAACAGATAATTTAAAAATCGCTAAATCTTGTAGCTTCATTGATCGAAGTACTCTCCGTACTGCAGATCTTACTAAGGCATTATTGTCAAATAAAGTGCCAAGGAACTGCAAAATTAAACAATGATGGAACATTAGAAAAATATGTACGCAAGTCACTTCTTTCAAAGTGGAAAATGGTTTGAAAAGCAAAATTACATGTCTTAATTTTAAAATATCATTGGGTCAACATTGTTCCAAAGAAAAAAAAACTAAATGATATTACCATGAACAGGTTACATTGAAGGAAGAATAAAGGGTTAAGAATAATTGGGACAAAGGTTGGGGAAGGAAGCCCTTGGGACAATGTTGCAAAAGGTGCCTCATGGTTTCAACATTTAAAATAATAGAAGCAACTTCTTTAAAGCAAGTCCAAGAGTAACGACTTCTAGATATCAAACCAAATTTAACTGGCCTTGATAAATAAATTATAACACCGAGATCCATCAAGCTCAGTGGAACACTAAGAAATCTCAGAATGGACTGGAACACTAAGAAATCTGATCTATTAGGAGGGAACATTATAATGGTTTGATCCATCCCAATTGTCTGAGAGAACACATCTAGCACTGATAAAAGTAGAACGAACCCATCCACAATCAAAATTGATATATGTTCAGTGATTTTAAGATAGATCAGAAACTTACCATGGGCATGTGTGTTTCTTGCACCTTCAAGAGGTTATAAATTGCCATATGATGCATTGTTTCCAATGCTTCTGCACGGACAGCTAATGAATCATCATTAAGCACATCAATTACTATATTTAAGGCTTCACCAGCAAAATCGGCAGAAAGGATGGTGAGTGTTCGCAAGGAATGACAGGCTGACCTTCGTACCTTCATAAAAGCAGACAATATCATAATCTTAAAATTTTAAAACTTGCAGCAAATTGCGTTGAACCATAAAAAATAAGGTAAGTGTAATCCCAAACAATCATTCTATATGCATAAACCGTACTTATTATATCTATTCAACGTGTGTCATGCAGTTGTTTAATATAGATCTGAATGAAAGATTATGATAGTGAGTCCAGTGACTGGTCTACCTTTGTCCTAGTGGCTTAGGGTCTTAATTCTCAAGTCCTAGGTCAAGGTTTTGAGACCAGTAGAGAGAGAAGGAAGTTAAAAAAAGATTATGATGGTGAACATGAGGCAAAACCTACCAAATTAGTCCTCCAATCTACTTGCAGGGTGTTGATAAAGTTTAGTTGTACATGAAGCTAGGAGAAGACATACTGCCATCTCAAAAAGATATAAGATCAAGCAGAAGTTACGGAACAACAAAGTTCTTAGAAGTTACCTCATAGAATTCATCCTCCAGCCCATGTATGAAAGCTCCAGCAGCACTGGATAACGGTAATTCAAACAGCTTCGCAGAGTACTGTCTAAGATCTTTATTCTCTTTCGTTATTGCTAGGACTTTCTTAGATAGGGTTTGTAACAGAATATTTTCAGACACCATTTCTATCAGCCCAAGGGCATCGAAAGCTTTGACCCTGACCTCCAAACTCATGTCTCTTACCATAGAACAGAGCTGCAAGAATATGTGAAACAAAGAGATGAGATGTCAGGGCAATGATTCTATGCAGTTATTAGATATTGATGTCTATTGTTGCAACAAGATGACAGGAAGAGGACATCCTACCATGTGCCTGATGTAGGGTTAGCTTGATGATTTCCTTGTTCTCCTAGACAAAACTTGGCCAAATCCGATTAGCAAAACCATACATTACTCAAACATTTAAATGGGATGAAATAAAAAATAAATGTATGAGATTTAGGGGAGTTATGTGTGAGGCATAGTTACTAAAGGCGAGACTAGGCGCCAGGCGCATCAAGGGCGAGAATCACGTCTGGCTGATGCCTAGGCGAGGCAACTTTCTAAAGACACATGCCTTAAAGTGAAACTCACAAATCACTAGGCTCATTAAAGGCGTGCCTCACTTAAAGTCAAATTCTTTACCCTTTAATTGTATTCTTTAGTACCGTCAGATACTTGTGCCACATAGTTAGACAGTAGTGTTCACTTGCTAAATTCTTTTAATATAAAATGTGAATGTTAAGAGTACACAATAGTCTCATCACTATTTACCGGAAAAAGAAAAAAAAAAGTGTCATCACTCGCACAAAGAAGTGCATTGCGCATCTCTCTTTCGATCAGCAAAACTCTTAATTTACATGACCAAAGGGAAAATAGTCACTTATGATGGCGACTTGCCTTGCCTTGCCTTGCCTTACCCCATGAGACCTTTAAGGTGGTTAAAAAAAGATCCAGGGGACCATGTTTCGATGTCTAGGGCAGGATTTAGGCACCCTAAAAAACATATTGTTGTTTAAGTTAATAAATTGAAAATCACAAATAGTTTCTTCCTGTCTCCCTATCACAAAATATTCATCATTCTATTATATGCAAAATCATTTATAACAAGAAGAAATCTCATGAACCAATATCATACAATTCTATTCACCATAAATTTATAAAGATAACAGCAGCAGTATCATCAATAAATCAATGCAAACTGTTCCATAAACTGATTAAAATTCCATCCTCTAACATTAAGTATAGAAGTAAAGAGCTGCTGTATAGATAATACCTGGAGAAACAATGCATCTGACCAATCTCTCTTATTTTTGTCTTGACTGGACGCCACAAGCAATTGTCCCCACACAGAAACCTGTATTCATAATGTGAATAAAGCCCATGAGCATTTTCTCTCATAGTTGTGCACATGCCCGGCATGACATGAAATAGAACATCTTCCTAAACTTTGGCCTTCTCCATTTGTTTAATGGAAGGGGGAAAAGAATTATTTATACAAAGGAAACTACTACATAAGCACAAAAATAAGTGACTTTTTAGCAAAGAAAGTTCCAATTGTTCAAAACCTTAGGGTTTGCATGGTTTTCAGAGAAGTGTCTTTTATAGTTCTTTGAAAACAGTTTTATGTTTTTGGAGTTCTTGAGAACTGTTTTCTGAGTTACAAATTAAGCAGACCCATAAATTTTTAAGGAAGTCCAACAACTTTTCTCACGTGCAAACCCCTCCCGCACATGAGGAATTTGATAACAGACTAAAGTCTACAAGCAAACACACATATAGAACGGGGAACAGTATAAGTTGGACCTTTTGAACCAAACTTTGATACCATATTATTAAGGATTTGAGGCACATATATATATAAATGTATATGAAGCTCTAGCAGTTGAAATCGTGGTAGTTTAGCTTTAATGACACTCAGTTTTGCGCCATGCCCTCAAGAAACTTTATAGTTAAAAATAAAAATAAATAAAATTTGCAAACGATTCAAAATTTGTGTGTTTTACATAGAATTCAAAATGAGTTTATTCGTTTTTAATAAAATTTAACACTTAAGTTTTTGTTTCAAATAATACCAACCATGGCTAGACCAATACAGTAATCAAAGTGCAACTGTATGTGTGCCAAATTGTGTCTTAAAGTACTAATCATGACCATGATGGAGTTACGTAATAAGTTCACAGTTCTAGCAAACATGCACATAATAAATGGAAAAAATCATACAACTACTAATCGCATCTCACCACGCAAACTGCAGCACACCTTACGCAATCCTCCGTATCGGATAAAAGCTCAACAGCACGGCAATAACATCCCTCAATCAAACCATGGTTCTCAACAAGAATGGACTTACACAAACCAACTAATCCATCCAAAGCAACTCTCCTCACATACGGATACGGATCCTTCGTAAACCCTAGAAACAATGTGAGCAAAAACTGCGGCGGAACATTCAACCTCTCGGCGTTCAACAGCAACCAATGCCGAACAGACACGCAGGGCCGAAAGCAAAGAGAAACAAAGAAACCCTCACTGATTGAAGGAAGTAGGGTTTGGTCAGACTCGGCGATTGAGATGAGAACGGAGAGAGCTTGGGCAATGGTGCGAGTGGGAATGTGTTCGCAGAGGAGAGAGGAAGAGCGAACGGTGTTGAAGATGCGGTGAGAAAGGTGGGGGTGGTGGAGGGCGAGGTCGGAGAGGAGAGAGAGGGTGTGGTGGAGAGAGAGGGGGTTGTGGTGGGGGGGTTGGAGAGAGCGAGCTAGGGTTTCGAAAATTGAAGAGATGGTGTGTTCGGAGGTCGAAGGGTTGACGATTAGTGATCTTGCTGAAGATAGGGCTACGAGAGAGGGAGTGTTTTCGGACACATTATTGGCGGCTTGGTTAAGGATGTGTTCGCAATTGGCTTGAACTTGTTCCTCCATTGTCGATGAAGTTTAGGGTTTTAGTTAGCTCTGCAACGGCTGGGTTCGCTTTAGAGAGGAAGAAGAAAGACCGACTCAGTTTCCATAACTGAAATTACTAAAAAGCCACCCATTCCCTTCGTTAAACGAAATAAGGTGCCTGGGGGAACAGACTGCGTAATCACAAGCAAGGTTGACCAAATCACCAAATCCCTGTGATCGAGTAATATTTTTGTTACAATTTTAGAATTACAAAACACTTTAGAAGAGATATCATTGAATTGTAATAAATAATAAAAACATTAAAAAAACAATACACTTTAGAAGAGATATCATTGTAATCCTCCATGTAAATAATAAAAACATAAAAAAATTACAAAGTTTTTGTGAGTCATCTTTTAAATTTTGAAGTCTGAATTAAATTAGTTCATTAATTATTAAATAATTTTTATTTGTATTGAATTGTAATCCTCCATGTAAATAATAAAAACATAAAAAAATTACAAAGTTTTTGTGAGTCATCTTTTAAATTTTGAAGTCTGAATTAAATTAATTTATTAATCATTAAATAATTTTTATTTGTATTGAATTGTAATCCTCCATGTAAATAATAAAAACATAAAAAAATTACAAAGTTTTTGTGAGTCATCTTTTAAATTTTGAAGTCTGAATTAAATTAGTTCATTAATTATTAAATAATTTTTATTTATTAATTATTTTTTTAATCACATGATATGAATTAAATTTAACTGATCTACCACGAATGGGCAGCTAAAAACCATCTAATAATTTCTAGTATGAAAATTGTGAATAACTAACCAACACTAAGGGCCTTCTCGATATTTTACCCGAAGGGCATTATCGGTACTTAACTTGGTCTCTATCCATTGGCACATTATATACACTGCAGGTGGATGACGATAAATCGATTGATTTGTTGAATCGAGTCTACGAGCGAGAGAGACCGAGGAGAAAAGTTTTTGAGTTTTTGTCCGGACCAGCAATAGCAAGAAGATGCCTTGCTTGAACCTGTCCACTAACGTGAGCCTGGAGGGCATTGACACCTCCTCCATCCTCTCTGAAGCAACCTCTTCCGTTGCCAAGCTCATCGGAAAACCTGAGGCTGTATAAACTCTCTCTCTCTGTTTATACACTCACATATATGTTATTCTCTTTTTGCTTGACTACATTTGTTGTCACCTGTTAGTAAATCTTTGTTAATCTGCGAATCTTAATTTTCTGTTGTTATTTATCCATATATTTTTCTCAAATTTCAATACAATTTGTTTGTGTTAAAAAGCGCTATAGGTATTAACCAAACACCAATTTAGTACTCAGTATATAAAAAATTGAAAACTCAATTCTAAGGGACTGATATGCGAAGCTTGATCACTTTTTGTGGGTTATGGGTTCCCAACAACGTATCATATATTGGGGATATTAGCTTTTGGACATGGTGACCTAGCTTTGGCTATGTTTTGCTCAAATTTGAATGGGGATAATTTTATAGTAATGTTCAGTAAGGTTGTGATGAAGATCTTTAGTAGGCTGATTTTGCCCTATATCTCACAACAGTGGTTTAAAGATGCAATTGGCTGTTGTTAAGAGCTGTTCTAGGAGGTTTCAGTGACTTCACTGTCAAATTATGGCTCAGCGAAGACAATGCACCCATCTTCCGTGGGTTCAATTTAGCTGTTTATAACTGAAGATTATCAGAGAACTTGTTAAATGCATTTGATTCTTTGAGTTCTGTGCAATACATGCCATTTTTGCTCCTCAAGTTTGATTGATGCTGGTATTTTGTCAACCCTGAGATAGGTGGAAGTATTGGTTGTTCACGTGTTTAGTGCTTGCTGTAAACTATTTGGAAGTAATTTGTCTGGGTTAATACTGTCCACAACAGGAGTGGATGTTTTAGTGGTCTAAATGGGTGTTCCTTTTGTCATTTTATTTATTTATTTATTTTCTCTAAATTCCTTTTGGCACAAATTTTTTTTTTTTTTTTCCTAAATTCGTTTTGACACATTATTTAAAGAGTAAAACTGGAGTTTTCTATTGAAGCCTAACCAAGTTTATCATCTTGGACGTGCTATTTATTTTTTCTTTCTCCAATTTGATGAACACCATTCCTAAGCTAAATGACAGTCTTTCTTAAATTGCTCTTCCTTTGTGTTCTTCTTTTTTATTCTTCATGTTGCCCTTTTGTTAAGTTTCTGGACTACTGTCGTCCTCTTGAGCCTGTGTGAACATTGTTCACTCTTAGCTTATCCCCCACCACCTTCACTTCACTACCAAAAAGAAAGAACAAAAAATTGTGGCCTATCATAATTATCATCATCCTTGCCTTTATTCCATAGAATGGGGCCAGCTACATGAATTCTCTTTCCCATTCATTTCCATTATAAGCGATGTCCCCTAATTTAATTTTTGGAATAATTTCACTGACACCCCCTGAGGTTTGGCCAAATATCAGTCTCAAACATCTTTCGAAAATAACCGTCACTCACATTATAAACGTTTGTTCCGTTTTTTATTCACACCCCAAAAGTTAGTTGACATTGGTGTCAGACCACTTTTTACATGTAAAAAGACATTTTTATCCTTTGACTTTGGTTTGACCCACTAAATTGTTTCTTTAATGATTAAAATCACATGTTTACCCTCATTTGACTTTAATTTGACTATTCAAATGACATGTTTACCTTTCCTTTTTCATATACAGAAATAAATAAAGTCATTTTATATTTATATTTGATTTTAATTAGGATTTTGATGGGTTGATGATAAATGGGTTGGTTTATATTTTTTCATCATTCTTTTGATCATTGTTATTGCAATATAATTTGTTCAAATTGGGTTAATAATATATTCTGGATCAAGGGGTTGGTTAGCTTGAAAGCACCAGTGACTTAGAAATGGTTGGGTTGTTGAAGAGCAAAGCTTTCCAGTGGTCCTAAAAGAATTGGGATAATAATATATTCGTTAATTGGGATATATATCTATATATAGTTGAAATTGGGTTCGTGTAATCATCGTTCTGGGTTATATATATATAAGTCTATATAACTGGGTTTGGAGGTCGTCGGAATAGGTGGTGGTGGGGAGGGAGAAGGAGAGGAAAGAGAAGAGTATATAGAATTCAAGTGTTGTACATGTATGCCCACGGCCCAAATGCTTTTGGGCAGCGATTGGTCGGTGTGAGGTTAATGACCTCGCTTTTTCTTCCTTCCAGTCCTCTAGTGGTACTTTGATTGGTCCAGTTGTGTGCCGGTGGCACCGGTGGTGGCAAGGGAGGGAGGAGAGGTGACATGGTATATATATATATATACAAATTAGAAGTTGGGGTTTGTTGAATGGCTTGGACAGAAATTGGGGTCTGTTGAATGGCTTGGGCAGTGGTGCGGTGGTGGGTTGTCGGAAACTCCATGTCTATGTAAGGGTATAGAAGTCATTTACATTATCTAATATTTTGGAATAAATGTAATTAAACAATTAGGGGCAAACATGTCTTTTCCCATACTTTTAATGGAGACAGTAACGGAAAAGTGAAAATGGACTTAAGTGATAGTTATTTTCGAAAAATGTTTGAGACTGATATTTGGCCAAACCTCAGGGGGTGTCAGTGAAATTATCCCTTAATTTTTTATTGCTTCATTTTGTGTTAGTTTTGGTTGGTCTCTTTGTCTCTTTCATAATATGCAAGCTAATATTAGTCTGCTTACTATTGCATTTGTTATCCATAAATAGCATTGTGGAATTTTGCAGTTCCCAAAATATGTTAAACAGGACGAAGCATGCACTAATAATTTTGTACCAGAATTACATCTTCTAAAATCGAAAAATCCTAATATCTTTTTGGTGATTTAGTTCAGTGAAACAGATCCTTGGTTTTACATTTAAAACTGTGTTTTTCTTTTTCCTGCTGCAAATATATTGACTTGAATTTTTTAATGAACTCCAATCTTTTTTTACCTATTTCCTTCCCCGTCACAAGCTGAAGGGAAACATGATATTATGAGCTTCAATTTACTCATTTTTTTAAAAAACAATCAACTTTTTGTTTGCTCTTATGCAGTATGTCATGATCGTGCTGAAGGGATCAGTACCCATTTCGTTTGGTGGGACTGAACAGCCAGCAGCCTATGGTGAATTGGTGTCCATTGGAGGACTTAACCCTGACGTAAACAAGAAGCTGAGTGCTGCAATATCTGCGATACTTGAAACCAAGTTGTCTGTTCCAAAGTCACGATTCTTCCTGAAGTTCTATGACACCAAGGCAAGCCCTTCTCAACTTTATAAGTTGTCCCTGAGTTGGGTCATTGTCAATCTTATTGCAATTTTCCTTTTTTAGGCGCATCAAAGGCAAGAATATGCACAGTGTCTGCATGCTTTACACCAGTAGTAAATCATGTAAATAAATCTTTACCTTTTGAAACCATGATTTTGTTTTTATCCGTATCTCAAGTATTTTTCATTCATTATTTTTTTGATTTCTCAAGTATCTTTGTATATTTGCTTCATCCTTTCATGCTTTAGGCTTTATTTGGAGTATTTTAATGTAATTTGCTGCCACTTCTGAGTTCTGATGACACTGATGGCTTCATGTTTTTGTTCAGGGCTCCAACTTCGGATGGAATGGGTCCACTTTCTAAATTCTGCTTTCCCTTCTGTGTTGTCTTGAACTTTTTATAAACTGAATGCCATGGGTGGAAGCAATTTACCATATGATAATTGGCCACTGCAGTTGCTGTGGTAATACAATGGAATATGTCATATATTTTCTTAGTTTGTGTTATTATGGTCCAGACTATGTGGAATGCTATCAGATGCCTTTCTTAATTATTTGTTTGTTTATAAATGACTTGTATCAATCTCTAGGAGCTCTTCTAGGAACTTTTTTATTCAGAAAGTAGGGCACTTTGGGACTGAACTACATAGTCTACATTATACTTGCCAATGTAGTGTTATACCTGTGGAGCACATTTGAGGTCCGGGAACAAAATTATGTTATTTTTCAACTGTTTGCCATCTGTTTAGTTTCGTGTGTGCATACGAGTATTCCTCCCTACATTTTCTACGCCGATGAAAGTTTACGTTAATCACAAGTGAAATCCTAGCTCTGTTTAGAGTGTCTTTCTTCTACATATTCTTACCCCGCAGTCTCATGCATTTTGTATTCCAAAGTTTTCCGTTACGAAGAAGACTGTCCTATCAGGTAACCAGACCTAACTTGAATAGGTAACTGTTTTGAGATTACATTTTCAGAGGTTGTTCTAACTTGGTGATGGATGAAATTGAGTTGTGCTGTTCTTCAATTCTGGTCCTCTTCTTTCTTAGTCCTTACTGAGGTTGTCTTGTGATTATCAAGGTTGGTGAGGTAGGTGAAGGGGGCCTTTGTAGTTTTGTCAAGCTCCTACCTATTCTTTAGATTTATTTTCTTTTGAGGTACTTGTTAGTTTTGTTGATGCACAGAGTAATATGTTCCTTTCGACAAGAGTCATATTTTCTTGTATTCTTTCAATGTGGAACCAACCTTATATGGACTGCTCATTTGCCTAGACTCCATGTGCCCACCCTAATATGAGTATATATGCATAGTCAGGGATGTTTCATGCAAAAAGCTTACTTCAAGTGGTATGTTATGTTCGTCCAAAATGTGTGGGGTTTCAAGTCCTTACTATAAGCATTTGGGCGAAGAAGATGGTAATCTAATTATTATTATTATTTTTATTATACAAAAACTCACTTTTTATCCTAGCAACAGGCTCACACACTTATATTTCTCGGCGAGAATTTGAGGCCTTCGACTTTCTATTTTGAAGTGTGAAGAATACCCTTGACGAAGTGTGTTTGCTTGTAGTCTTTAGACACGGTTACTTGGGTGCAAATCAAACATCACCTAGTTGACCATTCTTGAGTGTCAATGTGAAAGAACCTTCCCCTTTTAGTAACACCGTGTTAAAGTTGGCTGCTCAATTTGAGCGTGTAACTCGGGAAGGCTGGCTACTCAATTTGAGCGTGTAACTCGGGAAGGCGTTTGTCCAAAATAATCACACTACCACCTTATAATAATAATCAGGCAACTTCTTGGTCTCTTCTCAAATAATCTTAAAAAGGGTAAAATAAAATCTAATTTTGCAAAGGCGAAAAAAAAAAAAGAAAAAAAAAAGAAAAGAAAAGAAATTTATTAGTATTGTTTATTTCAACAAAATTGACTGTTTATCATTTACAGAGGCTATTTGTAACAAAATTTTGTTTACGAATTTCACTCGGCGATCGGTCAACGCGCATATTGCCCCCATCACCTTTAGATTTAAAAAATTTACATTGACACCCCTTCAAACCTCTAACACGTTATGAAATGATCCTTTAATCCTTTGACTTGTCAACAAATACATAAAAGATTAAACTAACATTCTCTTGTACTCTTACTCGTTAAGGTTCCTAGCCAATGTGTGTGTGTTGTATCCAAGGACCGTCCAATTCCACCCCATCATCATATGATGCTCTTGGAGACCCTAGCCACACGGCAAGGCCATGAGATCCCGACAATGGAGACTTAGTGGTCGACGACGATGACGAACGACAAGAGAAGATTTTGGCGCTGTCATTTGATGGGTGATAGTTCCATGGTGATTTCCGACCCCGGCGGTAGTGATCAAGATCAATGGTGTATGGAAATTGACTTGTAGAAATTGAAGGAACACAACAACGGAATCGAGAAGAATGCCAACAATCATTTAGGTCATTTGACAAGCTCCGGTGTCATTGTCCAAAATTACATTGACAGCTGAGTAATATTAACCAAAAACTAGTGAGGTGTTACTCCAATTAACCCTTGTATTTATCACATTGCTTTAGAAAGAAGATTAATGTTAGTTAAGAGAAATGTAAAACTAATTACCTTCCGGGAAAAAAAAAAAAAATGAAACTAATTTGACGTGGCGAAATGTCATTTGGTTGCTTTAGGAGACTGTTATTGTGTCCCATACCCGTCAGATCCACCGACGAAACCCCTGTAGCGTAACAGTGAAGCAAAACGCATCGCAGAAAAAAAAAAACCCGTTTATAACTCTCTCTTCCCCTTTCTCTCTCTTAACTATTTCTCTGCTAAATCTCCTCCTCCAGATCTCTCTCTCTCTAAATTTGTTCATACCTCTCCTAAATTCCTTCTCTCAAACCCCCAAAGAATCAATCATTCAACAAATCAATCAATGGCCTCCTCTGCACCTCCCGTCCTCCCAATCTCCAATACCCAACCCATCACCGTCCCCTCCGCTGTCTCCGGCGGCACCGCCCAATCCCAGCCGCCGATTGCCACCCCTGCCTTCCGCTCATTCATCAACAACATCAGTGAAACCGTCCGCAACGGCCTCTCCCAACGCCGCCCCTGGTACGAACTTGTCGACCGCTCCGCCTTCTCCAAACCCGAATCCCTCTCCGACGCCACTCTCCGGATCCGCAAGAACTACTCCTACTTCCGCGTCAATTACCTCTCTCTCCTCGCCGTCGTCCTCGCTGTCTCTCTCCTCACCAACCCCCTCTCTCTCATCCTCCTCCTCGGCCTCCTCGCCGCCTGGCTCTTCATGTACCTCTTCCGCCCCTCCGATCCGCCCCTTGTCCTCTTCGGCCGCGCATTCTCCGAGAGGGAAACCCTAGGGGTCTTGATCGTGTCGACCGTGGTCGTGATCTTCCTCACCAGCGTTGGATCAGTTCTCATCTCCGCTCTCATGGTTGGAATGGCCATTGTTTGCGCTCACGGCGCTTTTAGGGTTCCGGAGGATCTGTTCCTCGACGAACAAGAACCAGCTGCCACCGGATTCCTATCCTTCCTTGGTGGTGCTGCCTCCAATGTCGCCGCCTCTGCCGCACCTGCTGTTGCTGCGCGTATCTGAGGATCCGATCCTTGCGTTTGCTAGGAGGATGATTTGGGTAATAGGTAGTCGTTTTTCGATCAATTCGGACATTTTGGTAGAAATTAATAATGGAATTCAAACAATTTCAAGATTCTCTATACGTGTAGATTGGGTATATGTAATTTTGCTGGTGGATCTATCAATTTCTTGTTTTTGTTACTGATGGATGATACGTTAAGCGTTATAAATTGACAGAATTGTTTATTTTTTTAAAAAAATAATATAAAATAGTTGGTTTATTGATTTAAACTCCCTTTGTTCTTGTTAAATTTATAATAATGGAATTCAAATAATTTCAATTCCCTTTACATGTAGATTGGGTATATGTAATTTTGCTGGTAGATCTATCAATTTCTTGTTCTTGTTTTGTTTCTACTCTAGGCGATATGTATTCAGAAAAACATGTGTTTATTTTTTGAAAAAATAATAAAAATCGTTGCTTTATTTATTTAAATTCCCTTTGTTCTTAGAAAACCTTCCATTTTTCTACAAGAGGAAAGCATATAAGTAATATTGGATCTATTTGTTATTGGTTATTACATCTCTAAAAAGTTCATGTTATGTGCTTTTAATCTGTTTGTTTGATATATATATATAATCTGTTTGCAAATACATCAAGGTACATTTATCTATTGATTGAAGCAGCCCCAAAAATAGATCCGATATAGGTAATGTCGGATCTATTTGTTATTGGTTATTACATCTCTAAAAAGTGCATTTCATGTGCTTTTTAATCTGTTTGTCTAATATATATATTATCTGTTTGCAAATTCGTCAAGGTACATTTATACATTGATTGAAGCAGCCCCAAAAAAGTGTAGTCTTTGTTGTAAGAACTTTGTCACATTTATAGTAGATGTCATTCTCATGAAATGCAGATACCTTTTCATCCCTAACAATCCCAGCCTCTTGTGTCATTTCTTCTTTGAGTTCCTATCCATTTGAATCATTTGTTTTTGTTCACATTAGTGTAATGGTGTTTCGGGAATTCTAATTTTTGGAAATCTTGCATTAGATGTCTGCATAATGTGAGGAGTATTACTTTCTTATACTCTTACCTAGTTGACTTAGTAATCTTCACCCCCTTCATTCCCATATATCATTGAGAAATCAATGTGAATATCCATTTGGAAAAAAGTATTGTGCCCATTTCTCTTCACCCTAATTTGATCTTGCCCTTTTTATGCTGGCATTGTTTCAAAACCTTATTTATGCAGATTTTGTCCTATTTATTTATTTGTTTTGGGGGAAGCATATCCTTTATAATTCAAAGGGAGAATTAAACATATGGGCATTGGATCATGACTCAAAACCATGAGGTTGGCATATTTTTTTTTTTTTTTTTTTTGTTCTTTTAATCTCATATATCGGCATACATTGTTAGTAAAGGTATCTTGATTACCAACAAGAACCTCACCCTTTTGAGTAAAATAGTTGCTAATGCTAGTCATGTTCTCTTATATATCAACACATACTTCTAGCGAAGTATGTTGATCACCGTCAACTAAGTGTACATTCTCACACTGTGTAAAAAATACTTGGTGGTTGCTAGAGTTGGAATGGTTGTTGATAATTTGATTTTGGGTTTAAACTACAAAAGCAATATTTATTTAAGATAAGGTAAGAGTGAACTATAGAAATGTAACAAAAAAAGAAATATATTAGGAACTTTTTATAATGAAAGTTTGTAGTTTATGATATGCAAAGCTTTCATTACTATTACTATACAGTTATCCTCATAATGAATTTGTTAAGTTTCGGATATGTATGGAGACAAACCTTTTTATTTATTTATACGTGTATCATATATATATATATATCATCTTTTTTTGTTCATCTAGCAAGAAACTACACTTTCTATTCGTCTCTATCGCCTATGCGACTTGAACTCCTGACCTTTCTACTTTGAAATGTTGTGAGAAACTCCTGCTAGGCTACAGCCATGGTGTAAGGCTCAATGGACATCTAGATTTACTTTGAGATCTAGGCAAATGCAGAACATTGACTGCATTATTAGTAATGTTAGGCACTCTCAATGTGCTGCATTTGTTATGGTACTCTGAAGAATTCTTGTGGAGAATGAGTAGATTAACATCATATGATCCGTGGTACATCTGGGAGCTTAGCTTTGCTTGATTAGTCTCAGTTGAAATATTTACAGTACTGCATGTGTGTTGATTACTAATTGCATGCAGTGCTCCATAATAATATAGGGTGGCAATTGCAAAGAAGACTTCTTTGTTCAAATAAGCTTATTAGGAAAAAGGTGGATTACACCAAAAAAAAATTCCTCCACCCCCCAGTTATATTTGTTGATTGGTTGGAATGGCATTGGCGCCATTATTTGGTGCTGGTGTTATATTAAAATAGTCGATGGTCTGACATGAGCATGCAGGTTGAAGTCTAAGATGAAGAATGGTTGCTTGTTTGGCTAAATTATATCAAAAGTTCAGTTTATTTTTTCGGCTTTTCCTTCTATCAATCTGTATGTTATTAACAAGGAAAAATAATGTGCAATGAATCAAACATTTTTGGATTTAGCCCCCAAACAAGTGAGAGCTACTCTGAGTGTAGAATCAGATGATAGAATTCATACGGTTGTTGGGATGCCATTTCTCTCTCTAATAAGACAAGTTTTGCAGCAAATTTGATAAAATAAAATGAAGGGAGCAAGGACACAAGAAGGGTGATTCTGATTAGTGTAATGATGTAGGGAATTCTATTTATTTGAATTCTGATCAAACTTATTACAACTAATTATGCTCGCTCTGTTATTTCTAATTCTATATAGAAGCATCATGGTCATCTGAAATCAATAGAAATGATGTTTTAACGCCTGTATATTCCATGCCCTTTGTAGGAAAACATCTTTTGTTAAAATCAAAATCAAAATTATGCGAGAAATAAATCTCACTGTCTCTATCGTCCACCAAAACCATTCTGATATTCTTTTAAGGAAATTCTCTTCTTTCAAACACCTACCAATAGTCTCGACAGTGTTACGTTAAGCCAATATAACTCCTTTACCATTGTGTTATGACCCAACTTTTTGTTGGAGGGTTCTCTAATTTTTGTGCTAAATTCAACACCGCTTTTTTACTTTAAAAAAAAAATTAAAAAAAATTGTAAAGGAAATTAAAGTAAATAAATGGATTCGTTGGAATGTACAAAGTACATAGTGCTGTAGCATACTATCTTCTTCCCGGTTGCATTTAAGAATTGGTCAAAAGGCTATAACGGTCATTTAAAGGTGACAGTGGCAGGTTTGTAATTTTACTTTGTAGAACGGCAAAATACGTAGTCGTCCCACCATATGTAGCCGTTGGGGAAGTCCCCCTCAAGCAAGACCAGGTTTTTCAACCCAAATTAACGACTCTTCAGAAACCCAAATTAACGACTCTTCAGAAACATGTCCTACGGCGAAAAACTAGCCGTTAGGCACAACTAAAACAAAAGACACTGATACATACCCATCCCATTCTATTACTATACGTACTCTGTCTCCTCCCCAACCTCTCTCTACCCCAAGATTCCCTCACTTTCTCTCTCCTCACTGTGATTCTCACATGAGATCTCTCTCTATCTCTCTCTTATTTATCTGGAGGTTACTCTCCAACCATATATTTTGTGTACTGAACTTGCAGTGATAGAAAAGCGAACAGAAAAAAGAGGAGGAAGAGTGATCTCAAGTTCCATTCTTCCTCAATCCTCTGTTTCTATATTTCTTCACTCCTTCAGTGTTTACAATAGTGTCAGCTCATGAATCAATCACATAAATACCCATTTCAGTTTATGCTTCTTATTTCACATGGAATCGGTCATCCATGCCGGATTTCAAGTGACAAGAAAGAAAAATGGAAGAATCATTCATATAATCACCTCTTCTTGTTTGTTTTTGTATTGGGTTTCGTCTTTCAATTTGCTTCAGCTGCTCATCAATTGGATGGGGTGCTTGTGACCCAGGCAGATTATCAAGCACTCAGAGCATTCAAACAAGATTTGGTCGATTTCAGAGGAGTGTTGAGGAGCTGGAATGACAGTGGTAATGGAGCTTGTTCTGGTGGTTGGGTTGGGATCAAGTGTGTGCAGGGGCAAGTCATTGCTATCCAGCTTCCATGGAAGGGATTGGGCGGCCGAGTCACCGAAAAGATCGGCCAGCTTCAAGCTCTTCGAAGGCTGAGCCTCCACGACAACGCTCTTGCCGGAGCTGTACCTACCTCTCTCGGGTTCCTCCACAATCTCAGAGGGGTTTATCTGTTCAACAACAGGCTTTCAGGTTCAATTCCTCCAACAATTGGGAATTGTCCTAGTCTTCAGACTCTTGATGTCAGTAACAATCAGCTCACTGGGACAATTCCTCCTAGTCTTGCGAACTCAACAAGGTTGTATAGACTCAACTTGAGCTACAATGCAATTTCAGGTTCTATCCCTGTAAGTCTCACTCTGTCCCCTTCTCTCACTCTACTTGCTCTCCAACACAACAATTTGTCTGCTTCAATTCCTGATACTTGGGGTAGAGGAGTAAACAAGTCCTATCAACTCCAAACACTGACCCTTGATCATAATCTTTTCTCTGGAACAATTCCAATCTCTTTGGGCAAGTTGAGCATGCTTGAAGTGGTTTCCTTGAGTCATAACCAGATTGATGGGACTATACCCAATGAACTAGGAACTCTCAGGATGCTCCAAATGCTAGATTTGTCCAATAATGCTATCAATGGAAGCTTTCCTGCTACTTTTTCCAAACTCTCCTCCCTTGTTTCATTGAATCTAGAAGGCAATCGCCTTGGTGACCAAATCCCAGAAACCATTGACAGATTACAGAATCTGTCAGTGCTTAACCTGAAGAACAACCACTTCAAGGGCCATGTTCCAGATCAAATTGGGAACATATCAACCATTTCCTATCTCGATTTATCGATTAACAATTTTACAGAGGAAATTCCGACTTCACTTGCCAATTTACCCAATCTCACTTACTTCAATGCTTCCTACAATAATCTTTCTGGTGCCGTTCCATCTCCCCTTTCCAGGAAATTCAATTCAAGCTCCTTTGTAGGGAATCTTCAACTATGTGGCTACGGTGGAAGTCCATGTCCTCCCCCACCTCAAATTCCTCCATCTCCATCACCCGAGGCTTCAAAACGTGACCACCACAAACTGAGTACCAAGGACATAATTCTCATAGCAGCTGGATCTCTCCTTGTAGTTCTTTTCCTACTCTGCTGCGTCCTGCTCTGTTGTCTCATAAGGAAAAGAGCTGCTTCAAAAGCGAAGAATGGTAAAACTGCAGGCACTGGTGCTGCCGGGAGAGGGGAGAAGGCAATTCCTGCAGCTGGGGCTGAAGTCGAATCAGGGGGTGAAGCCGGTGGCAAGTTAGTCCATTTTGATGGTCCATTTGTGTTTACAGCAGATGATTTGTTGTGTGCTACTGCGGAGATAATGGGCAAGAGCACTTATGGGACGGCATACAAGGCAACCTTGGAGGATGGTAACAACGTTGCAGTGAAGAGGTTGAGGGAGAAGATTGCGAAGCCCCAAAAAGAATTTGAAGCTGAGGTTGCTGCTCTTGGGAAGATTCGACATCCGAACATCTTAGCCCTCAGAGCCTATTACTTGGGACCCAAAGGAGAGAAACTCCTTGTCTTTGATTATATGCCTAATGGGAGTCTTGCATCCTTCCTTCATGGTAAGAAAGCTCATCTAACCCCTGAATTCCCTATACTGACTCTGCATATATAGGTCTCATAATTGTTTACTGCTTGGTTTGTTTAGAATTTGATATATATATATATTTATCATAGAAACAAGTGATATGTGTGTGTTTCCGTTGCAGCTAGAGGGCCTGAAATCACCATATCTTGGCCAACAAGGATGATTGTAGCCATGGGTATCACAAAAGGCCTGTGCTTCCTTCACACCCAAGAGAATATGATACATGGGAATCTCACATCAAGCAATGTACTACTCGACGAGCAAATCAATGCCAAGATTGCAGATGTTGGCCTCTCCAGGCTCATGACCAGTGCTGCCAATACAAATGTGATTGCCACTGCAGGCACACTAGGCTACCGGGCACCAGAGCTCTCAAAGCTCAAGAATGCCACCACGAAGACCGATGTTTACAGCCTTGGGGTGATATTGCTCGAACTCCTAACAGGGAAATCTCCTAGTGAGGCAACGGATGGCGTTGATTTGCCCCAGTGGGTGGCTTCAATTGTAAAAGAGGAGTGGACTAATGAAGTGTTTGATGTGGAGATAATGGGGGATGCGTCCAACACAGGCGATGAATTGCTCAATACATTGAAGTTAGCTCTGCATTGTGTCGACCCCTCACCTGCAGCCCGGCCAGAAGCTCAGCAAGTTCTCCAACAATTGGAAGAGATTAAGCCGGAGCTGGCTGCAGCTGCCGGTTCTGGTGATGATGGTGCCAAAGACCCATCAAAAAGCGAATAAAAACAATCCTCTTATGATTCCATTTCTCATTAGTTTGTTATTGAAATTCCTATTTATTCTTAAAGATACAAATCATAATAGCTGGTTCTTTATTTGTTAATGTATATAAGCCTATGCAAGTTCAATTCATCTGGTTTCTTCAGTCTATGTTGTAATAGATTCTATATTCATCTTCCTATTAACATAATAAAAGAATTGTTTGTTTTATTTATGAAGTTCAAAAGAATTTAGTTTCATCAATTACTAGTCCTTTTTCCTTACTATGTACAGTAAGTTTTTGTTCCCGAGTTTTCACGTTATAATACAGGTTGTGTTTGGTGGTAACTTTGGTTGCCTTGATTTTGCGGAGAATGAACATAGTAGCTCCGAAGAGAGTTGTTTGTGTCTTCAAAGAAATCTTTTCTACCCGAAAAACGATCTTTCTTGGGTTTTCTTACTCTGTTCACTATGGATGAAATAATTATTTTAAAAAAATTATTAGATGGTCTCGATTTATTCAACACTTGATCGACTCATTCAATAAAAATTATTTAATCATGAAATTTTATAATTTATTAATACATTATTAGTGTCATTTTTTCAATCCGAAAATTTATATTCAATTGATCCATCAAATATTACGTGTACTCTCTCTAAAATTTGTACAGTCTTCTGTGTTGCCTAGATTCTGTAATACTGGCATATTTGTTGCAGGAAAACACCTTTTTCCGTTATGATGAAATAAGCATGACAGGATTGGAAAAAAAAACATCTACAAGAAATGAGAGTCCCACAGAACGAATCTAGCCAATTTGGCAGTAAATATATAATTAAATAGTTGGAAAAAAAATAGGATATTGGCACTTTTCTCAAGAAGGAAGCTAATATAAGACGTTTGGTCCTCCATAGTGTACCTAACAGTGGGTACAATATTAAATTCAAACGACGTCGTAGATTAATTATAGATGATAGATCATCTCTAAAAACTCCATTGGCTGTCTAGCCTGGACAAACTTCACTCCTCCCTCTGACTCTGCAACACAAGTCTCTCTCTCTAGCACGGCGGCCATGGATGACCTTCCATTACAGAAGATACAAATATCGGGCCCCACGTTAGCCTCTTTGATCCAACGTTTCTCTTCCTCTCCAGGTGACGTAGATGGCGTCCTCTTCGGCCACGTCACCCACATCACTCCCTCCTCCTTCTCCGACGACCCTGCCACCGTCGCCGACGCCGCCACCACCTCCTCCGACTCCCCCACCCTCGTCGCCACGATCACCTCCTTCTTCTGCTCCACCTCCACCTCCACCTTCTATGACTCCACAGGTCACCTCAACGTCCTCTCTCTCCGCCGCCTCGTCTCCCCCGACCGAACCCCCCTCATCGGTTGGTTCTCCGGCCGCCGTAAAACCCCCCTCCGCCCTTCCTTGCGTGAGTCCTCCGTCACATCCTCTCTCTCCTCCAAAATCCAATTTTCTTTCCAAATCGAGAACTCCCCCAAATCCTACACTCTCTCCCCATGCATCTTCCTCCTCCTCACGACGCCGTTTCAAGATCAACTGATCCACACACATGAATACCGTGCATACCAGTTCCGTTTATCCACCGACTCCTTTGAGCCCAAAACCCTAGATGTGGTCAACATTGGACCGGCATTTCGAGGGCATTACGGTCTGTTTTGCCCTAATTCACCGTTTCCGTCGTTGTCGTGTGAATTGAGGAATGTGAATGCATCATCGATGGTGGTGGAGGATGGGAAGAGTGAGGCTGAGAATTTGAAGAGTGTGAAGATGGGTTCTAAGGATCAGAAGGAGTTGAATATGTGTGCAGAAGGGTTCGAGGTTGCTCGGTTGAGTCGGCTGATGGGGTCGGAGGCAACAAATTATACAGCGGAGTTGGAGGAATTGTACAAGAAGATGCTATCGAAGCTTGATGGGTTGGCGAGGCTTGTGGAAAAGAGTTCAGCTAAGGTTCTTGAACAGGTGACAATGTGGTATATTTTGCAATGAATAGACTAGGGTTTGGCTTAGGCCATTATTAAATTGGTCAATTGAGTTATTGTCACTACATTTCCAATAAGAACTTCTCATGTAAATAGTTTTAGTGCAACTAAAAGGTTCAAGTTCCATATTTTGACAGGAAAATCACAATATGAAATTGAGACACAAAGTTGCTGCCTTGGAATTCAAAGTTGCTGGCTTGGAATGATTATTTGCGGCTTAGTGGTGTTATATTTGGTTCTTTGAAGGTACAGAGATATGTCATTGTTAGATATTGAGGGTAATTATCTTTGATAATCATTCACTTTACTTCTTTCAGCAAATTCTTATTAAAAGAAATGAGATTGAATATAATGAGGTGTTATTACAACTTTGCTCTGATGAAATTGATGACATATAACACACATAATAGTGTTCTGGTATAGTGTGTCCTGCTTGTTCGAATCTTTCTATTGTGTATTTGTGTGCAAAGTTGTTACTTTGGATGAAGTGCCAAATTTATATAACTAAATCACATTTCTAACTATGTTTTAAGAGAGAGAGAATACTTTAGATATATTAAGTTGAACCCAAATTGATGTTAGAAGCTCTCTAATAGTTTATTAGCCTCAACCAAAATATTTATACTTCTATATTTCTACCACCTCATATGAAATAATTGTTCCCATGCATAAAATGTGTTTCTGTTTTAGGTCCTTCTTCATATCCTTATTTTTCATTGAACGCGTTTAGACTGCATTGCAGTAAATACAGCAGTCCCACGTGTTCCTATTTTTAGCCTTCTTTCAATTATCTTGTGTGGGCATGATATTGGGTTGCTTTATTTTAGTATGAATCAACCTCCTCTTTAGCTACCGTGAAAATGAGAGGATTTCACAAAGTAGTAATTCAAGCGTCTACTTTCTCTAGAGTGCGTGAATATGCTTCTTTTGTTTCTATCATTCAAAATTAGGTCGAAATGAGATCATTGTCATGAGCGTGTGAATATGCTTCTTTTGCTTCTATCATTCAAAATTAGGTGGAAATGAGATCATTGTCATGATGGAGTTCTTTCATGGATGTAGTAGCAAATTATTGCTGACGCCCATCTTTTTATAGGTCCATACTTGAGTTCATGTCAACAAACGCTTAATTACTTATTCCCAAGTGTTTATTCCTCATAACGTCAGGGATACATTTTTGGAATAACGATTTGTTGAGTTGAGTGTTTGTATTCCTCTTTTATTATTATTATTATTACTTTTTTTTTAGCACCACCCCGTAATGAAGGAACTTTTGTTTATCTTTTTTTTTTTATTGATAACTGAGGAACTTTTACCTACCTACTTGTAATGCATCCATTTGTTGTAGACACATTGCTTCTAGGGGCCATTTAGCTAATGTTCACTCGTTTCTATCCAACACAATGTGTAGCTTTAGGAACTGGCTCAATATTGCAACTTTTCTGTTCATTGAGGCTTGCCTTAATGTTTCATGCTAGTTGCTCGCCTAATTCAACCTTTACCTTGTTTGGGCGAAAAAATGGATGGTCGGATGTTGGAGACATGAAAAACATCGCAGTTGGAGTATAAATGACAAGTGATGGATGATGACATGAGCAACTGAGGTGAAATTGGATGAAAAGATCTAGAATGAAATATAAAATTAGAAATAATTGGATGTTATATATAATACATTTGAACTTAAAATTCCTGTATTTCAATGAGCAAATCAGTGGATCACTGGTTTGCGGTTCTGCATGGTGATGGTTGTGATAAAGAAAGTGGTGAGGACTGTAATATCCCACTGGGCATGGTATGGCAGTGGTGAAGGGGGGTGGTGTGGTGCCAATAAATGTATTAGCAGCTGTAGTTGTGCGACTAGCCGGCATTTATTTTTTACTGGTGATAATCTATTACCCGCCCCTAGGGATTTGTGCCACTGAATTTCTTTTCTTGAATCTGTTGTACGATTGTTCAAGTTCAAATCTTCTTTTGTTGTCTTGCATCCATAGAGGAAACAGATTTCAGCTGCCCCAAATTTTTTCTATAATGAAAAAGTTGCCTTTTCACTGTCCAGAGTAGTCGCCTTGACCGAATACTTATAGAAGTGAAGTATGGGGAAGCTCTAAGGGCTGGTGAAGTGTTGGTTTAAGTTTGGGAAAGTGAAGATACTGCTTTTCAATTGAAGATGACAAACTGAGAATTTTGTGTTCTTTTAAGGGAGTTTGAGAATGTTGTATATATTTTTTTTCCTTAAAAATAGATTTTCAATTAGACTTAGAAGGCTAAAAACTCCCTTCTGTTCCTTTCTGTTGTCAAAACAAAACTTCACATTCCCCTCACTAATGACCTCTGCCACTGTCAATTTCCCATTCAACCCCCTCTCAATTAAAAGCCATTGCCACTTTCAGTCTCTCTCGTCTCCCAAGTGTTTAACATGGAAGACACAACAAGATCCCAAAAATAAAACTTTGGAGATCGGACACAATAATTCTATGTAAGATGTAAGACTAAACCATGTGAAAAATCTAAATTGAGATATTTTGTTCCATTACTCATTGGGAATAGATCTGGTATTTGTGTTTGCTCGGTTGGTTTAGAAGCAGAAATTGAAAAACTAGAAATTGAAGAGAAGTGGCAAAAAATGAGGATTGTAAATGAAGCTTGCTGAAGCTGTTGTTATGGTGCTGTAATGTGTTTGTATGGTACATTGCAGTTGTTATTTCTAAGTAAGATTGATATATCCGTAACACGTTTGTACTCTCGTGTTTAACGGCCGGTATTTAAAACCATATTTAGTGTCTTGTCTTTCACACAGGTCTAAAGCATATAGAATGAAAGAGGATTGTGGTGGGAAGGCTGCCTATCTAAAACTTGCAGTCTACCTTGTGAACCTGGTCAGTCTTTGTCAATTTGAGTTTTTTTTTTTAAATTAAGACAACTTTTTCAGTATTGTAATGCTTCGAACTTGAAGCAGACTACTGGTGACTCGCTGAGTGTTTAATTATTTTCTATGTATGCATGCATACATCTTCGTGCTGTGTAGCGGCATTAAAATGAAAAGATGTATCAGTTCTCTATAATTTGCTGCCCTTCAGGCTTTTGTTTTCTCGTCTCTTATTTTTGCTATTTTCTTGTGCATCCCTAAAAACAGGAAGGTGCCCATCAAATCTTGCAGCTTGGCTTGTTGAATTCAATATATATAAAAATTATGCTGTTAAAGCTTCATGAGTTTGGATTTTTTGGTGTATTCAAGATGAAGACGATTACCTTGGAGTTATTTTGTGTGTACACCACCTGTGTTATTGTCATCATTTGTGTTCTATATGTTTTCTTCTTGGTTTGGTGCTTATATGTTGAAAGTGACAGAAAAATGGAATGGAAAAATGGACTTTTGGCTGTTCCGATCTCTTTGCTCAAATAATGGTTTCTTTATTGCCTGGGATCCGAGGACTTGTGCAGATTCACTGATACTGAAGTCTCTTTCTTATTTATTATTTGTTTTTCAAATGGCGGATGGTGACCGGGAAAGCCGGCATGAATCCATCAACCTAATATTTAAGTATGAGTATAAAATCTTCAATTTTAAAGAATGAGAAATTAAGGATGGTTGGTTAATACCTGTTTAATCTGTTTATTCTTTTTAATGATAATATCTACAATCGCTACAACAGCCAGTGCAACAGAAATTGAGAGTCTCAAACCAATTTCCCAAATCAGCCAAACAATTGTTCTCATGGGGGCCTGTTTGTCCACGGAAGAAGAATAAACGCCATCTTAAGGTTTCCACAGAATAAATCAATCCAAATTTGATGGGTCCTATTAGATGCTGCTAAGCTGGCATGCTTGACCAAAACATATTGGAAACACAAACATGCAATGTAACTCTCCACTGAGCTGTTCAAGGATACAAAGGAGGACTTAAAGATTATATAATTTTAACTTCGCAATTCAATCAGGATTCTTTTTTTCCCTAAATAATTCAATGAGGATTTATTTGAGAGCAAATAAGATTCTGCATCATCCAACAACATGAGGCCAGCATGTGACCAGTCCAAACTAATTGGGGATACAATTTTTAGAGTAAGATGCGAATACCTACTAATAAATGCAAAAACTTAAAAGCCCATTACCAATTACAAAATTATATGCCAGTGTTAGAAAAGCACTAAATAAAAATAATAATAAATAAATAAAAAAGCAAGTACTGAAACTAGATATGATTGGTTGCCACTTGCCACTGAAACATGTAATAATCAATTTAACAAGCAGTTGGTAAAAAATATTCTTACATTTCGCGGAGATCAAGTTGACGGATGTTGTATTGTAGAAGATCTAAACAATAAACATGTTAAGCCGCCAGAGAGTCTGGAGAGAAGCAAAAAGATATTCTGATCTAAGAATCTTTTGTTTTTCCTATTTGGGTCAAATCTGGAAAGTAAGAAAAAGTGGGTTCAAATCTACCCAATGATGACTAAATTCTGGAAAAGAAGACATTTGCCTCTAGAACCATTTCCACCACCTCTTGACAGCATTAAACATTTAACATCCAATATTTTCATAGTGGCCGCAATATATCTTCCCGATAACCGACTAGCAGCTACCTAAAAGCCATTCCCACCTGTGGAATTGGCTAGCCCCCAAGATATTGTTATGTAAAAACCAATAGGCATTGCTGCAAGTAAGTTGCCTGATACGAATAAATATATGGACTGCTTCTCATGTCATGCCCAATGGCATTGACCATCATGTGCAAACAATGGAAAAAACTGGATGGTCAGTTTATGCAGATCAGACACCTTCCTGAAGCAATTTCCATGGTCCACCTTTTCTTCCTAATCTGGGATGTAGAAGCAAGTATCAGAGAAAGATGCAGTGTAGGAATAAATTAGTGTTTTAATTGCCACAGCTTATTACATTGAAACAGAGTGAATCAGGATTAAAGTTTCAATAAGTCATTCCTCAAAAGTAACCAATTATCTTACACTTTGAAAAGAGACATGAGAAACAACAAGGACAATATCATTAGACACCCCGTCCCTCTGAAACTTGAAGGCCATCCCCCAACAAAAAGTGGATGATCATGCAAAGGTAAGTCTCGTGTATTCTTATGTAACATTTCGATAGTTATTGCATCATCAACTATATTCTATAAATTAGAAATAAAAAAGAGCAGAGATCAGTTTACCTCCAGATTCCAGCTACTACACGCAAAGTCATGAAGAGAAACAACCCTGCCCACACTCCAGCAAGCCCATATATGGGAGCAGCCACAAGTAAGAACACTGAAGATATTATACCGACAAGCACCTGCTCATCATGAATAAGGAGTTAAGAAAGAAACAAATAAAATGGAGAAACTGAAATACCATAAAGCTAGGGAAAAGTGGCACCATGGAGTATGCAGCGTATCCAAAGTCTGAAACCCCATAGTAGAGCCCATCGAGAACAAAAGCAAGAGCATTCAATGGCTGAGATCCAGCAACAAACTGCAAAATAAAGTCGAAATCAAATTTCATTTCTAGTGGTAAGTCTATCTTGGCATGAGCTTGACATGTATAACGAAATCTAGAAAATTCAGAAAAGAAATTCATGAAGTCCTGTTTTGAGATTTCCCTGCCAAACCTGTCTCCAGAAATAGATAATATCAACCATTGGTCTGTTGCATTACATTCCTTAATAAATATAATTCCAAAAGCTGGAATTACATAAATAAATGGAAAGGAGAGACCAAAAATCCCAAGAAAATAATGACAACGATCATCACCAGTATTCCACTTTATTTTTTTCATCAGTGAAACAGTGAACATGATTATGTGCAGCGTTCAAGATCATCTCACTGAGAAGGGCAAATTTATTGTTATCACTGAAGGAAGCAAAAAAACCTTCTACACTAGAGAAATCCCGTAAACGATGAATTTAGACATAAGAGACTATTTAGAAGGAATTGCCTATATAGGCAGCAATTCACTACACTGGCCAGAATCTAATATTAAACAACCACCTTTTTTTTTTCGGAAGTTAAACAACCACTTGCCAGAAAGGATTAAGCTGTCAGGAAATTAAGAGGCAGAGAGACAGAAAGAAGTTATAAAACAACAAAAATGTGACAGAATAGGAAACGTGCAAATGGAGAAACATGATCCCAACAATATATATCAAGTTCTACATTTGTAAGATAATAGGTGTATGAAGTCTCCACCCTACCCAAACCTGGCCGAGTCTGCCCAATTGACATGATGAAACTGAATTTTTTTCAAAGAATCTGTAAGTAGTAGTTTCTAGCTGTTGTTGAGGAACAAACTATCTAGCATGTAGGCTATAAAATGTGAATACGTTTACAACAATAATATTATGAACAGATAAAATAACAATAATAATAATAAAGAAAATAAAAAACATTAATGTTGAATCATTGACTATGAAGCACGACACAAACATAGGACACAAGTACGATACGACACGGACATGATGATACATCAAATCTCAAAAAAATTGGACACGGATACGGCAATAAAATATTATATATATATATATATATATATATATATATATATATATTAACTAATTTCTTTTTCACTTTCTCTGGGCACACTAGCATTCCATAATTATTTAAAGAATATAAGGGTCCATGGGTCAAATTTCACATACGGGTCACAAATAAAGAAGTATTCTTAACCTCATATAACTTTGTTTACAAAAATAATAGCCTTAACCTAGGGACCAAACACAAAAAGTAGAAGTTTTAATCTAGGAACAAAACACGGTAAAAGGAGATAAGGTTTTACTTATCCCCTCCCTCTTTCTCATTCACGAACTTGGATGCGTATCTCACTCTTCGGGTGGTCCTTCTCCGGCCCTCATCTCCTCTGTCTCTTCAAGGTTTTTCATCTTTTCATCAGACAAAGGTTGTATAGAAGAACAGATCTTCGGCAAAGAAGAACAGATTTGTAAATTTAATTGTATTATTTCAATTTATAGTTGAATCTTCTCCATGAACTCTTTCTTGTGTATTATATATATATATATATATATATATATATATATATATACAACAAATATACACAGATCTATATATATATATATATAGTAGTGTTCAATTGCTCTCTGGTGAGTAGAGAGTTATATACTCACTTTTAATAGTGGCCTTAGGATCTAATCCGACGGACAACCTTCCTTTCACTATCTTTAGGAAACTTAATAATTCTATCAATTACCATCCAATTGAAATGACGAAAGTAGACACCCATTTAAAGAAAACAAAAATAAATTTAATTTGCTACTATATTTGTCAATTGAACATTAGGAATCAAATAAAACACTGGCAATTTAGTGTTTGACAGAAAATCAATTAAAGTCTAAGATGGTTTAAAATTATTTAAGTTTGACAGCATAGTACTTCTTTTTTCTCAGTTCATGGTTAATCTGACCTGTTTTTTTTTTTTTTTTTCTTCCCTTTTTTTTTTTTTCCCTCCTCCTCCTTTTATGAAGTCATGTGTTGTGATTTGTAATATCTAGGGTTGTATCATCTCTAACATTTATTATTCATGTGCCCAAAAAACGTAGATTAGAATTAGGTTTAAAGAACACAGTATCTTTATTAAAAGAACTCTAACCATCAAAACCTCAACCACAAATTCTTGTACTTATTAGTGATATGGCATCGAAACTGGCTACAGTATTTTTAGTGTAATTCAGAGAAGTCTTTTTAGTGTAATTCTTGTAATTTAGATTTTTTTTTTTCTTTTTTCTTTTTTTTTTTTTTTTTTTTTTCTCTCTCTCTTCTTTGCACAAAGTACACAATAATCTCTAATTTTATTTTTTGGGCAGAAGAGGCTTGCTAATTTTTTATTTGATTCCGACGTGTTCAATTGCCCAAATTAGTTATAAAATATTTTATTTTTGTTTCCTTTAAGGGAGTGTCTACTTTTGTCATTTCAATTAGATGGTAACTGAAAGAATTATTAAGTTTCCTAAATACAATGAAAGGAAGGTTATCCGTCGGATTAGATCCTAAGGTCACTATTAAAAGTGAGTATATAACTCTCTACTCACCAGAGAGCAATTGAACACTACTGTGTGTGTGTGTGTATATATATATATATATATATATATATATATATTATCATCTTCTTCTCTCTGTACAATATATAGATATATATTACAGCCGTGTCCTGTAATGTGTCGCCGGCGTGTCCTTGGAAGTGTCCGTTTTTTATTATTAGAAAAAAATCCCAGGAACAACATAAGCTAATCTATTGCAAAAGAGATGAGTGGTATCAGCTTCTTACCTACCAAAGGTTCTTACCTCCCAAAGGGAGGTCAGGAGTTCAAGTCTCAGAGGAGACAAGTGTGTGTGAGTACCAACTAGGAAAAAAAAACGTGTCGGACACGTGTCTAAGCATCCGACACGCATGTCCGACACAGACACGTTGGGTCACGTGTCGGTGCTTCATAGATCGTTGATGAACATTATTTAAGGTCAACATGCCAAGCGAACATGTAAATATCAAACCCAAGACCAGCCTATGAGTGAGCTATAAAATTAGGTGCGGCCAGCTAGATGGCTGTCAAAGTGAACTTAAGCCAAGTTCTAAGTGGACCAGACAGACCAAAATATGCCAACTGATCCCAACACTTTCAGCACAAGGGGCACAAAGAAGGCAAGCACCAGTGTTTCATTAGTAGATACTTCTTAGAGTGTAACCAGAAGGCACAAAGATCATCAACAAGACTCCATTCAAATGAGTGGCTTCTTACCAAGGTACCAGACCATGCAATTTCCTGAACTTCCGAGTCTGTGGTAAATAAGCTAGAGATTGCTCCAAACCCCAGGAACAACATAACAGCCAAGGCAACTCCCGTTACTAAGCCAATCTATTGAAATTGAGATGAAAACAAAAGAGTCGGTGGGTTAGTTACAAATATTATCTCACCAAATAATTGATGCTAACTTACAATCACAATAACAATGAGAAGGTAGGAATACAGTTAACCTGTAAAACTTTATAAATCAGTTCGCGTGCTTGACCATAATTCCCTTGGGAGTAAGTACTGGCAAGAAGAGCCTGTGAAAGGAACATCAATACAGTGATTAACAGAATCGAAGAGTTTTCAACCACTAATACTAAAACATTGTGCATATGATTGGATACGTATGACCGACCATGAGACAAAAGAACAGATATAGAAGAAGCCTTTTTCCTACAACTATAAAACTCTTCCTTCCAAGCTAGTTTGAATTACTTCCACAGCCATTATTTTCAGAGCTTCTCCAGGTTTATTGACCTGACTTTTATTTCAGTATATTGGCCCATTTATTGTATTTCGTATTTTAACTATATCCTCTAATAAAAACAAACTCTTTTAGAATCTTAGTTATTAGTTCAACCATTTCCCTAACGTGGGCCTCTCAAGAATGCACCATCATTACAAACAATTACATATTATCAGAGCGCTGATGAGGTTCGAGCACAGGACCTTCCTTCCATAATTCCACATCAATAACCAATTACTCTAAAAGTTGGTAACATGGTACCAAAACAGGTAAACCTTGGGTTAAAACTCTAACACTTCCATGATAATATATAATATATTCATGTGATTGGCCCACTTATGAAGTATCAAAATTAATAAGTGCACATAGACATTTAGAGCAGTGGCATCTATTTTGGGCAACCCAACCAAGTTGATAAAACTTGCAACAGAGACATGTTGAACCCATGACCAACTACACGTCAAGGGCACAATTAACCACTTGACAACATCACTGCTAGTGTTGACATAACTACCTTATATTACTTATCCATTACTTCAGCATTAAAATTTCTTGATATTTTCATAATACTAATTTGATAACAATAGATACTACACTACCCAGAATACATCTTTACATATATGTATATCTAAATACATAGACATATTTACATGTATGCATATATGTATTATGTAGGCACTTGGGTGCCAACCCAGACCCTAAGTATTTCAAATTTGATGCACTTTACGCTCTCGTTCCTCACCTTGCATTATTGGTACCCAAACTCAGCACACTCATTTGTCTATATGTGTATGAAATGACATAATGCTTAGTCTATGTTACATGGACTCTTCAAAAGTAGTTGAAGTACCGGTGTAGGACACATAATACTCAAACAGGGGTATGAGATGTGTCCGACACTTTTAGTTGGACATGCACCTAAAAAGCTTATTCAATGATTTTATTTTATTATATTAATGTCTCAAAGCAAGTAAAATGCCTATACTAAACACCATGTACCATATAGAAATCATTTTAATCTATAAAATAAAGCTCAATTATGAACTAATGTGAAATTTTAGCAGTGTTTCTGTGTTCATCTGTTTGGGAATTTGATATCTCTGATGCTTGGATACATAACCACAGCTGACACGCGTAACAGAGTCCAGGTAACATACGTCGATGTACAAATTCTTTACCTGCCCTGCAAGTGCTAAAGCATCAGTAAGCAAAGATACTGCCAACCAAACTTGTAAGCAGATCTGATGACCAGCCATAGGTATGGGGCCCTCCCTTGCAGCCATAGATGTAGCTAGCGTCAAGGTTAGAAGCACTGCCACAGTCCTGCCAATTAAAAGTCCACCTGCAAAATGAGAGGATTGGATCTCGCATTTAAGAGACTTTGTATATAGCATTACATGATACTTCCAAAATAGCTTTGCATCTACAACAAGTGCAGACAATATGATCATCATGTGTTCCAAAATAACATATTTCCTTAACTGCGAAAAGTGTTTGACTAAAAAAACTATCATGATTTAGGATACTTATATATTTTTTATATATGTATGTATCTATAGAGAGAGAGAGAGAGAGAGAGAGAGAGAAAGGAAGAAGACCTAGACAAGAGGTCTACATTAAACTGATTGAACTCAAATTTCCACGCTAATTTGAAGGCACACATAGTGATGACAACAACACATCAACCTCCTATGTTGACAGGATCAACTCTGCAAACAGCTCTGTTAGCATATAGTTTTTGTAAACTCTTTAGTTACACTTGAAAGCAGTCTCATGCCCCTTGATGGTTGGTTTCCATTCAATTAGTAGACCATCTTTTACAAGTGGAATTAGTTTAGAAAGAAAATTGACAAATTTTTCTGCACACCCACCATTTTAATCTGTCTATCAAGGACCACATACTGATTATTGACTAATTGAATAAAGCATGAGATATCAGATGGTTAAAGTGAAGTCAGCCAAATTAAATTTTGATTGCAAAACAGTTGCATTCTCCAGACAAGCACGGCCTGAATCTGATTTTCAGGGTCCTGTCTTGTCTTTGACCAATAACTGAAAATCACTTGGTGACACGTCCACCATAAATCTGTGCAACTGTGCAAATAGCCTACTGTGCTAAATTAGATGAAAAATGATACCCACAGATATGCATGTAAGCAAGCCAATGATAGTGATGTGGATGTGGTAGGATGAAAATAGAGGCACAAGTATGAAGAAAAACAAGAAAAATCAGCGGCTATAATTTCTGAATCAGTATTCCAACCCCACTAAAAACAACAATTCCAATAAAGAGTAGATTATCCAATAGACAATCCCCAAACAACTAAGCAACCAAAGAAGAACAAACGATGTGCTGAAAATAAAAGAAATTTTGTGGAAGAACTTCAAAAAATTTATTTCCTTGTGATGCAATAGAATTGCTACCTGGAAACTCCCAACAGATTGATATGGAATTGCCGTATACTTATAACTAGATTATTGTGATAATATACACTAGCATTGACAAAATTATGTGACAACAGAACCATGGATTTACACACACACACAAATGTCCGAAAGTTCATTTTGTCTACATCTATTATAACAATTCAGTACCAGATGAACATGACTAACAAAACCAAACCTTGTTGCCAGATATTAAGTAAAGATGCAAATTCATCAAAAATATGAAATTTGTTGCATTAGTTGATTCAAAAAAGTTAACACATCTCAAAATTTGAATTGCATTTCCACTTTTTCATGGTACCCATAATCTAGGAAGCACAGATACGGATACGAATATGATACGATACGGGTATGGCGATACAGAAAATCTCAAATAAACAGGATACAACGATTAAAAAAATAATAAATTATATTTTTATATATAAAAAATAATAATTTTTGGTCAGTTTTTTAAAATATTACAAATCTAAATTCAATCACTAATATAACTTAGGGGTTGGTTTCACAAAACATAAAAAAAGTATCCCTGGTGATATATTTTGAACTTTTCTTAACAATTATACTATAATATTATTGTTTGAAAAGTTACATTTTAAGTTCAAAACTTGTTAAAAATGTGTTTTGAATTATTTGAAAAGTATTGGATACGTGGTCAAAGTATATAAGATATATCAGATACGTGGTCGAAGTATTTTAGAAGTATCAGATATAGGTTAAAATTAAAAAATATAATTTAAAATTGTGGATACGTTTAAGAAGTATCGGACACGTATCCGATAGTATCCAAGTGTCGGTATCTGATACAATACGGATACGTTAACCTTGTAGAAGTATCCGTGCTTCCTAGCCCATAACCCATCAGTCTTCTCCCAAGAAAACATTATTATGTTTAACCTTTTCGGATTTTCTCTTTCACAATGTAAACCTATCAGTCAATCTATTTTCCAATAGTTAGCAGAACTCACAATAACATGTTTCAATTAGTAACAAATGGCCTTTTAAAATTCATACAGAAAGGACTCCTTGGATTAGAAGAAGAGAATGCAAGTCAACCATCACTTTCTTCCATGTATAACTTGGGTTTCAAGAGACATACCAGATTTTAGATACCGGGCAACTCTTTTCCCATCAATATTTGGAGAAGCAAGTGATACTTCATCATTCAACTTCCATAGAAGGATGAAAGCAATCAAATATCTGACATGAAAGATAACAAGAGAAAACCATAAGGAGAATAAGAAATGAGTGCAACTAAAATATTTTCGAGTAATATCACGTGCAGAGCACAATTATATGTGTTAGTTTTACCACATCAATGACGTACTCAGAAATCACAGTAGAAATTGCAGCACCACTAATGCCAAGACCAAAGAGAAAAATCAAAATTGGATCCAATATTGCATTCAGTAAGTTGCCAGCACCTGGGCAATCCAGGGAAGATGTCTGTCATAAACTGAACTAGCCATTTCAACATGATAAAATATCTGTGAATTGGGACATATCTAGCATGAATTTACCATAACAGATTGCATGGAGTTATAACTTGTCATGCAAAGAAGTGTTGCCAACTGGCGACTTGCTGCAACCTTTCCCAATAACCAGTCAACTACTCAACCGTACTTGTTCAGAAATTGTAATATCCTAGTCTAGTAGGGTACTCTATCTTGCCTGGTTCACTTCTAGCAACTTTGCAGATTGAACCAGAATTAGGGAAGGAAATAAGTCGAGCTAATCCAATTCAAGTATTAATGCTTTCAAGTTTCTCTTGGCCGAATTTGGATTGAGCTTTGCCCTGCCCAAGGTTGACTACCTTGTTCAAGCTTGATAGGGATATGTTTGGCATAATTCTATTCATGAGCCTAACCAAGGTTGTTAGATAGCCTACTGGAAAATATGTTTATAGTAAAAATCTACTTCTCCGAACTTAAAAAAGTGATTACAAGTTCATAAAAGAACTTAGAAACAAATGATTCTTCATGACAAGACACTGACTCTATTTTGCAGGTACACATGTATATATGAAATACTTTCTGAAATGGAACCCAACTACAACTTAGCATAAATGAACCATGCTTACCCGTAGACAAGCTCGGCCTGTTAAGCAATCAAGCTTGGAAAATTTTGGAATTGGCTTGTAGAATTTCAGTGAGATCAGCAGTTCTCCAAAACAGTTGATCAGTGATCATCTCTTTGGCAGCTAAGCCCAAGCTGCTCACAAGTAGGTTTGTTCATTGGTAGACCCTCCCACAACCAACATTATCTCAAACCAAGGAGTGACTTGGACAAATCGACATGTGCCATATTCTAAGATGATCATGATGCTTATTGTTGCATAGTACAGAGTTGTGTTACATGGACTCACCTATTTCTCTTCATGCACCCATGTCGAAACAACACAAGTATAGGTATGGGAAATGTGTCCAAAACACGTACCCAAATTGGACACTCCAATTTTTCAATTGTAATGATGGAAGAAGGAAAGGCTCAAATTTATTAGTAGATAAGGATTTCCTAATTGTGAGATGGATGGGAATCTCTTTTTTCAGATCCTGTTTAATTTAAATTCTAATTGACTATACCTTAAAGAACAACGACATTATACATTACAATAATATATAACATATAATGTATTTAAATGACTAGAACAGGTGATGCAGAATGGATAGTCATAACAAGATTTCCATCAATGTGTCTACATAGTCGTACCCAATTTTCGGACACATTTCTTCGTATTGTAAGATTTAATATTAAGGAAGGTCAGATGCTGCATACAGCCGCATCGGATGCTTGTACCCAAGCCTATGCTGCATATTCAAGCAATTTATAGCGTTCACATCCCTGAGTTCCATCAAGGGATCAATCTTGATTAAAAAAGAGAGTATAATTAGCTAATAAAAGTACAATTCACGTAATTATTTCTAAATGTACACTGCTGAGAGTTAACATTGTTCCAAATGATGAATTGAATTGAAATGGGAGGATATATTCTCATTAAAATAAATAAATAAATAAATAAGGAAAAAAAAGAAAAAAGAATTGGATTGTATAAGAACTTAAACTATGATAACTTATGGTTGTCAATCACAATAATGAGTAAATTATTAAAATGCTGTAGTACTTGCCAACTGCATAAAGAGGTGTCTTTGTATCCTTAAATCCACGAAAAGTGCCTTGTGCAGCAAGTGCTATTACAATTGGTGGAGCACCAAAGGCCCTTAGGGAAAGAAATTGTTCAGCTGGTACCCGCATTGGGGAATCCTGCAACACAACAAACCTAGGTGAACATACAAACGATTAATCTTCAGTAATACTTATACATGCAACAAACAAGTTCCAAATTAACAAGAATATTAAACCAAGGCATGCCATCACTTGTACACAATAAATATCGAGCTATAGATCTTTCTTTCTTCACATTGTTAAAGGTAGTAATTAGAGTGACGTTATCTAGTGTGTGTGTGTCAGTGTGCATTACTACATGTTCTTAACCATATATACAGTAATTTGTGTGAAAAGATAAATGTCATTCGCAATTTCCATATAGGGTAAACAAATAATCTCTCTCCCAGACAATTATCATTGAAAACTTCAACTTCAAAGCTCTTCAAAATGCATTTCTTTTGCACACTTACATTTTAAAGCAAACAACCAACTGCCTTTCCTGATGCACCAACAAATTCCTCGCTAGATATGTTTTATAGCTCTATTATATAAATTTCCAAGGTATCAATATAATAAGAGCACCGCCTACAAATAAGAACACCATTGCCTAATGCAGATGTAATATACTTGTGCTATCAAGCCTGATAATGTGGGTCCAAAGCCAAAGAGCAACCACTTTGTGCAAATAATACTAAAGGTTATGTCTGTGTCCAATTTGCGACTGTTTGACCGGAACTTAATGTATGGGTTTCCCTAATTATGGCATGTATCTTACCTGGCTAATAAGGAATTTCTTAAATTATGATATAAATTAATCAATGATGTTTCTCCCTCTACAAAATTCACTTCCATAAGCTTGTGCAGAGGTGTTCCATAATAGTGTGACGCAAGAAGGCTTTGAAGCCATGGAATCTTTCACAAATTCACGATCAAACTACAACTAGAATTCTCCACACTCTAGGGATGGGAAGAAATATTCAACTCTACTCCAACAACCTCACCTTCCTTTCATGCAAAAAGAAAAGGGGGGAAAATCATAAGAAGAAGAAAAGGTGCTAAAAATGAGAAAAGGCCCAAGAGAACATTAATTGAAGTGGTGATAAAGACATGTTCATGTAAGCAGCTACACATAACTGGATCCTTCCTCTCTCTCATATCAAGTTAAGAATAATCATTTGGTAAATACGAGGAAGAAACAAAATGTCAAAGTTTTCATAATAACCCATGTAAATATGTTAAATTCACTAGGTTATAATATTAGAAAGAAAATAAGAATTGGAGAAATATAATAGTCCCATGGTACAGCTAATTAAGACGTACAACAGGTATACCCATGGTATTCATTAAGAAACCCGAGCCAACTGACAGTGCTACAGCTTCTGCAATGCCAATACCAGCAGCTAGTAGTAAAGAGGTCGAAACTGAAGGAATGACTTTCTTGCTTTCTTGGTCAGCCACTAATCTCAACAAACAGCAATGAAACCAAAATCTTTATTAGATTAATGCAGAAGATAATTTTACAAATAAAACTCAGGAATGTTGAACAATTTAAAAATCAAAACATTGTAGCTATTAATTAAAAAATACCTTGGTCAAATTTAACAGACTCATCGTTACCCTTTGTAACTAATGCCTGCTCTTCAGCAACAAAGGACGTGGTGACGTTGAGCAAAGGGACATTAAACAATTTTGACACCAAATTAAATACAGAAACCGATACACCAATTGCTGCCAGTTCAGCCGATCCTATAAAACAAATAGTGGTGAACAACAAACTCACTTGAACCAATAAAGATATAACTCAAAGCAAAAAATGCTGTAGATAAAACTTGAGACTCATTACCATCATCTTCAAATGTAACAAATATTTTTTACATTGCCCACAAACTGTTATGATTAAGAGTCGAGGATACCTCCAAGGATATATTGTGTGCAAAAATGCAACCAGTTAATATGGAAAAAATTATAGACCAAACCATAACCATGAAAAGAAAAAAGAAATTGCCATCTCCAACCCATTATGCAATGGAAAAGAAGCAAGGGTGGTGATTTTGCCATAATCAACCCAACAATCCACTCCATGATAGTAGAATCACACATCCCATGCCAATCCAACCACTTTTGCTAAGCCGACAATACCCACATGAATTATCTCTTGGGGATGCTAAGTAAGAAAATTCCAACCTTGCTTCCAAAGCCAAAAGCTCATTAACCTAAACCTAAAGCTCATTAACCTAAACTAATCAGAAGTCTGGATATAGACACATGATGCAAATTCTACACGACTAGGACAAATGAAAATACATATACAAATTAAATTTTATATAAATATTTTATGATTGTAACACAAACTAAAAACAGGAAAGCCCATTTTTGTCCACTTTGATGGCACTGAGGGCTGTAACCTAGTTGTATCTCCTCTACCTCCCAAAGGGTTTAAAGTACCCATAGGGGCAAAGTGAGTGTGAGTTATTTTACAAGAAAACAAATTCTGTCCACTTTGAGTATCATAGTCCAACAATAAATCAAAATGAATCAACTTATTATAATTAATATATATATATATACACACATATATATATATACCTATTACCAATATAACCAACAAATGATACCACTCTATGAAAAATGAATAGTTTCAGATTTCAAGAAGTAATAACTCATAATAATTCAAGTTTTTCACATATCTAATACAATAAGAACACCCATAAATGAAATAAAATAAAACAAAACAATCAAATTGAGTACCCAAATGGCCAACAAATGCGGTATCAACCAATGACGCGATTGGATCAGCGGCAAGAGCCAGTGCAGCAGGCAATGCAATAGCCAAAATCTCCATTCCAAGTTCATCAAACTTAAGCTTTTCTCTGCAAGCCCAAAAAAATAAAAAATCCTCATGCATAGAATGTTAATTTGTACAGGTCAATTATTTACATCCAATCATGGTAACTAGATTAAGTGTACCTTATTGGACGAAGAATAAAAGAAAATGAACTGGAAAACGATGAATCAGATGCCGAACTTGGGTCAGGTCTCTTGACCCCGTTACGAGATATTGGGGGTTTAGATTCTTGGGCCGAGGCATCGACAGAAGTGTTAGGGTTTTTGTGAGGTGAAGATTTAGGGACTGTCCGAGTACGAAGAGAGCAATTAGGGTTTTGTACCAGTGTTGCTGGAGGTTTGGAGGGTGGAATGGAAGAGTAGCATAAACAACTATTGTTGTGCTGCAGAGTGTGAACACGGAGGAGGTGGTGTGAGAGACCAATCGCCATGTTCAAATTGCTAGAGAGAGGAGAGAAATTACAAGGTTTAGATATGAGTTACGAGAGAGAGATTTTAAGGGGTTAAGATATTATTTGGAAGAACAGCGGAACCAGATGTTAGATCACTTATCTGTTCAACTAATTTAACGGTTAGAATGAGAGTTCAGAATTTTTGTAAATTATTTTACTATGTAATAAAAATTTGAACATCAAAACAAAATGTAAAATAAAACAGTATTAAAGTTAGGAAAATTGCAGAATGAAAAATTAAACAAACAATTGGGCCTCTCAGCATCATGTGTAACAATTGGGCTTCGTCTGAACATTGATTATTATTTTTTCTCAAAAGTAATACAACGGGCTATTGGAATTTAGACTAGCCCAACACTTGAACCCACCAACTGCTGTGGTGCCCACAATTCCTTTAGCCCCTTCACATTTTTAGACTGCAAACCATTTTTCTTATAAGAAAATAGAGGATCAATAAATCCTATAAAAATTGGAGGGGTCCGATGCCTCTCATCAGATGCAACAGTGAATATGTACACATAATATATGGATATAAATACATATATAGACATATATCACTCTGTGTCTCGTGATTCACAAGAAGTATGAAATACCTAAGACAAAATAAAAATAAAAATAAAATAGTTTAAAATAAAATAAATAAATAATAAGGGCATTTTTTTAAATTTATAAAAACCACAATTTTTTTTTTTTTTGTATTAAAAATACCTAAAATTCCAAAAGGGTATTCTGGGATTTTTATTAAAATTTTGGTCTTTTTTGTTTACTGAGGGCAATTTGCAATAAATTTTCAAAATACAGGAATTTTATATGCACATTTTTAAAATCAAGGATATTTCTCGCATATTTTTTTATATAGCAAGGACTTTTTTTGCACTTTATTCTTTTTTTTCTTGTCACCAAAAATTTCAACATTAATCTTTCAAGATAAGAAGAGTTAAAAGTTAGATTAATAAATGTAGAGAGTCGAAACCTGACATTTCAAAATCCACCTAAAGTACTAATCCACCGAGCTATCAAGTTTACTGTAATATATACAACAAGTGTTGATAAAGAATGTGATAGATTGACAAAGAAAAGTACTTCTCTCGTTCTTTTTCATTTTTTTCTTCTTAAAGAGACGCTTGCATTAAATTGAAAGCTTCAAATTTGCCAATTTACATCTCTAAGACTTAATTTGTTTGATTAGAGGAAAAGTTGTGGAATGTCCAGAAATGGAAAGTTTTCAACATTTTAACAATCTATTTGGATGGCAAAAAGAAGAAAAGAAACAAAGAATCAATTTTGCCCAAAATGTTCCTATAGAAAACCTTGGAATGTGTTATTTTACTAATTTCTAATAAATTTCATATCCAAAGGTGGAGGATTCGAGTATTCGAGTCTAGCAAGTAGATAGTGGAAGTTATGTACCAGAAAAAAAAATAAAAATAAAAATTTTTATTTTCCAAATCATAAAATGGCAATTATCCTGTGACTTAATTTAAAACTATATATCCAAATACTGTATATATGAAAGGAAAAAAAAAAAAAAAAAACTATTTTTCTTTCCTTTTCTCTCTTCTTTTTGATTAACATGAAGTTTTTTCAAAATAATTATGAAAAATTACCATTTTATGGTTTGAATAGTGTGAAACTTATCATAAAAAGATGGATACAATTGAAATTTCATATACTTTTCTCAACAAAACAAAATTTTCATGTACTTTTTGTAAAATTGATAACAGTTTTTTTTTTATAAAATAAAACTGAAAATTATAAAACCGTACAAATATTTGTTTAATTGACAGTTTTTTAAAAGCAATTGTTTTTATATAATTGCCTTTCATGACTTTCTAAAAATAGTTTTCTATTTTTTGAATTCCTAAAAATTATTCTCTTGAGTGACAAACCACCACAATTTTTTCCTATTCCTCCTATCCAAACTCTCAAAAACTCAAAAAATAAAAAATTAAAAAAAATCCTTCTTTTGTTTTTTTCCCCCCTTATCTCCATTTAACCAAACTATAAGCCATCTATGTTTTATTTAACTCACTTTTCAGCATTATTTTTTAACTCTTTTCTTTGGCGTAATATGGACACAGTTTGACTTAGTTTATGCATTAAAAGTTTCAAACCTCCAATCCATACTTACCAACTCGCTCCATATAAAATCTTCCATATGTTCTCTAATCCGTAACTTCAGGTCACATTTCCCACTTTCGTCCGGCACTTGTTTGCTTAACACACAACCTCCCACCCATAGAACAAAGCTTGACATACAATCATACATAATTTGATCAGTAGCTATATATATATATATGATAACTATAATCAACAGGTCTGTGACCTAGCAGTACAAAATTCTTACTTTTCAAAAGGAGGTCAGGGGTTCGAACTTCAGTGGAGGCAGTGTGTGTAAGTCCCAACTAAAAAAAAAAAACTGATAGCTATATGCATAGAGATAAACAAATCAATATTACTCATGTGTTCTGTATTCAAGGGTATCATTTTGTTACAACATGAAAAGCATAATATATATGTATGTATTTCACCAGCCATGAGTTGGAATTGAAGTCTCTTTTACATCCATTAACACACAATAATTTTTTATTTTATTTTTTTAACACACACAAGAAATTTAAAGAACAGGAATTTGGATTAGTAGTTTCAGAATTTTCTTTTTCTCATATTGATATGGTAGGCCAGTTCATACACATGTAATAATTTGTGATGAAATTCAATAGATAAAAAAATTCATGTGACCGACCACTTCGTACATAGGACGGAAGCAAGAATCAGGTTTCAAGAGTCTGAGAGAGAGAAAGGGGGGCCTTAGCTCCATGGTCTAGAGAATGTACAAAATAGTTTTTTCTATTTAAAGCTACTTAAAGATATTCAGGTGCATCCATCAAGGCTAAAAAGTTAGAAAGTAGTCATGCTCACAACAAACACATGTATAGCATGAAAAGAAAAGTGCTAACATTTGAGTATCTTTTTTTACTTGGACAAAAGTATGACAAGAACACATTTGGGGAACTTTCATGATTGAGATGAGATAATGTGACATTATTTTTGGGTCAAGTGCATAAATCACTTATGTATTATACATGTAAAAAATACTTCTAATATATTAAATTTGTATAAATAGGTCCTATCGATTTATTTAAAGTAGAGTTAGACTAAAATGTCGTTACTTTAACAATTTATAAACAAATATATAAAAAAACATCATATTGGACTTTGGGCAACCAACCCTTAAGAGAGTAATATGCTGCTAATCTCATAGTAGATGAGTGTTATGTGCACATGAAATGCAATATTTATTATTTTTTGAAATTATTGAATTCTTTATAATTGTTACCTTTGGAATTATTGAATTGTGATTCTTTACCAAAATTATTGCACATGAAATGCAATGATAAATAAATTCTTTTTTATTTATACCCTCAATATATATATATATATTTATTTATTTATTTATTTTTGCTCGATTTTTGTATTTAAGCTAGGATTATTTATGTTGAACTAAAAAAGAATTTCAAATGAGATTAAATTTAAAAATATATATCATAGAAATTTTTTGAAAATTTCATATCCGGAATAATAAATAATTAATTGTTACATTTCATGTGCAATAATTTGGTAAAGAATTAGAATTAAATAATTGCAAATGTAACAATTATAAAGAATTCAATAATTCCAAAAAAATATATATGTCTTGCATTTCATATGTAGATAACACCCCTCTATTATGAGTAGTAGCATATATACTCCCTTCGATATTTTCGAAAGAGTAAAAGGGCAAAATGAGTATTATTACACTAATTTATGTCATATTTTTTATTGATGGTATTTTCGCACAATGTGAAAAGAATATGGGTATTTTTTTCACACTTCTTTTCAACAGAGGGTAAAATTGTTATGTGGGTTATACGTTAGGGTGCTTTCTACACTTGTCCCTATTATTTTTATAAAAAATGAAGTTTCAAGGTAAGTTGAAGACATAAAAAATAGGATAATGCTTAACTACTTACCGGTGAGTAGTTTCACCTTACCCACCTCTTATGTGTTCCAATAACAATTTGCCACATCAACTTTAATAAAAAAATAACCCACATTTATTCAATGGTTGATCTCAGAAAATACAGGAGGATGTGAATTATTTTTTTATTAAAACTAATGTGGTAAATTGTTATTGAAACACACAAGGGTGAGTAGGGTGAAGCTACTCACCAGTGAGTAGTTAAGCATTATTCTAAAAAATAATACTAAATTTTTTTTAAAAAAAAAAACAAAACAAAACAAAAAGCTCCAAGTTGTGAATTAGTAATTATATTCATGATAATGTAAATAAAATAAGAAAAAAATAATTAAATAATATAATATACTAATATTTTTTGAACAATCTGTATTGTATCTTTGCCGTCGTCTTCTTTTTTTCTTTTTATTTTTTGTGTTTTTTTCCCCTCTGCAGTGTCCCTGTCCTTGCTTCTTAGCATTTAGCAACAACCCCTAAATTATTTGCCGTTTGTTTCTTTGTTTCTTTTGCCTTATAAGGTTCAAAAATATTTAAAAATATGTGTAAATTGCTTCCTAATCTCTGCTGACGGTCAATTTTGACAAAATTCTTTTTATAAGAAATCCTAAATACCTTAAAGCTGAAATTAACGTGGAATTGCCCCTAATATATCCTTAATTATTATTATTATTTTTGCACTTTAACCAAAACTAAATATAAATAAATGAAAGAGAATCAATGGGCTTCAACCATAAAACAAATAAAAGTTCCATTTTCTTAAACTTTATTTTAATAAACAAAAAAAAAGTAATAAATAAATCGAAGAACAAGAAGATGATGATGAACAACATCAATCAACAGGGAGTACAAGAAAAGTATCAATTAGGCCACAATAATATAGGTGTCTGTCTACATGTATATCTACATAAAAATATGTATATATGTACGTAATAATGGCTAAACATTAAAAGAACAACAATGAATATACGTATTTTGAATGCCCTATGGATTAAAGGAGAAATGAATGAGTTTAGAAACTTACATTGCTACCCACCACATGTAAGCCGAGAGAGAGCATGAAGAAGCCATGAAACTCAGGATGGATAGCGC